CCTCGTCCTCCCACCCCCTCGCCCTCGCGCTCTCCCTCTCCCTCTCCCTCGGGCACCATGGCGCCCATTGCATCCACCGTCTCGTCGCATGCGGAAGGAGTGTCTGACACTGCGAGGGCTAGAGAGCTGTACAAGTACGTTATATATAATCTGGTTTTGCACAGTGCTATACTACACTGTCCTATCATATGGCATCCTATCTTCTGTCCTATCCTATCCTGTCCGGTCCTGTACATCTCTCGACTAACATCTCTAATCAATAGGTACTACCAACCATCTGCACCCATCAATGCCGATACACCATTCACTATTGATCCGATCTCTTCTTCCTCTTCCACTTCTACCCGCGATGACCCCTCCATAAATACTCCTGTCCATTCAGACATCACGTCCTCCAAAATATCCTCTCCCGATACTGCCTTGACTGCCTTTTGCCAGCTCACAGCATGGCGAACCGGAGCGCAAAGGGCCATGATAGGGTATGAAATTCGATACTCAACATCTGATTATCTGGGCTAATACTACATGGTACAGCCTCATCGACGCCGAGACACAATATTTCGTCGCAGAAAGCACGAGGACCATTGATCTGGTAGACGCAGCCCAACATGGACCTGGAGATGATCTGTGGTTGGGTTGCAGCAACGTTTCCAAGTCTGGCAAACTATGCGAGAGGTATAATTATCGTGCATGCTTCCTAAAACTAGACCACTGACTCGTGTAGGACTATTGCAGTTCCCCCAACACGGACCGGGGAGTATCCCTCGTTTGTTGTTAACGACCTTCTCAAAGATGACCGATTCAACCAGTTACCTTTCGTTCAAGGCCCTCCCAATCTTCGCTTTTATGCAGGAGTGCCCCTCATAACTAAAAGAGGAATAGGAATTGGCAGTTTATTCATTGTAAACGACAAGGTTCAAGATGGACTTCCCAAAGACGACCTCCACTTCATGGGTACCATGGCACAGACTATAATGAAACATATGGAGATGGTTTCGGAAGTGGAGCAACACAGGCGGGGCATGAAGATGTCTCGAGGCCTGGCCTCATTTGTTGAGGGCCGCTCTGAGCTTGTGGAAGCAGACGTGGATGCCGAAGATGGAGAGGGGACGCGCATTGTAGGCCAATTTGAAACCGACTCGATTATCACCAAAACAAAATCAAAAAGCTCGCGCTCGCAGTCGCAGCGGGATTCAGTCGTTTCTGTGGGATCTGTGAGTAGCGTTGAACGCAAGGAGCAAGAATACGCCAGTTCCTTGGCATCTAGAACGGAAGAGGTCTTAATAGCTGCATATGCCGATGCGGATGACCCCAGCCATCGTCCGGAACTCACAAGCACAACACATCCCAATTCCTCGACATCTATTGGAACCGCTTTTACCGTCTCATCGCCACAGGACAACGACAGGTCTGGTGCGACTCCTGGAAGCGAGACGTCCGAAGATTCGGCACAAAAGATTATATGTTCACGGGCCGCAAACCTTATCAGAGAGACTTTTGAGGTTGATGGTGGTTGCGTCTTTTATGATGCCCAAGGAGGATTTGCCAACGACTCGCAAGGGATGCCAGAGGCTAGCGACGCATCAAATCGAGACGACATGCAAGATAGTACACCGGATGGTCAATTTGGGAGCGGCGACGAAGCTCACTCGTCGAATGAGATGTCTGCTGATGATGTTCCTTTTCCAGCTGTGCCATCCCCTGGTTCCCCCGGTCTCGGCGTTCGTTCATTTTCTCAAACTACTACAGCGTCCAAGAAGATTGTTGATGTTTTGGGCTTCTCTACTCCGGGCGCTGCCTCGATCCATGGCGATGAACTACCCGGGTATCAAACTTTTAAGCCTTTTGATGAGAAATCACTTCACACCCTATTGCGCCGCTACCCCCGAGGGAAAATGTGGACCTTTGATTCAGATGGAGCAATATCTTCATCATCCGAAGAGGAGCAATATAAGCCTATTAGCAAAGACCCCATGCAACGTCAAAAGGATGCGAACAGGCGTAAAGCTAGAAGTGAAAAGGCCAAGGCCGATTCCAAATTTTTGTCTCGCCACTTTCCTGGCATACGGCAGCTACTGTTCGTTCCGCTCTGGGATGCGGGACGCTCCCGCTGGCTAAGTGGCTGCTTTGTATGGTCCACAGAGGTCACGCGTATTTTGTCAAAACAGAATGAACTTTCCTTTTTGTCTGCATTTGGCAACTCCGTCATGGCGGAATGGTCACGAATTGATACAGAAATCGCAAACCAAAAGAAGGGAGACTTTATTGGGAGTATATCTCACGAACTACGATCTCCTCTTCATGGTATTCTCGCAAGTGCCGAGTTCTTGGGTGATGAGGTTAAGAGCACATTTGAGCAGAGCATGGTTGAGACAATATCCAGCTGTGGCCGGACGCTCCTTGACACCATTGTAAGACTTTGTTTATTCATTGCAACTCAAATGACTCGTACTAACTTCCACAGAATCACGTGCTAGACTTCTCCAAAATCAATCACTTCGAGAGAACATGGCGAAAGAACAAACGGCGCGGTAACCGGCCTGGTACTTCATATTCAATAAAATCAGACTTGCCCATGATTAATCTCTATGCCGATATTGATATCTCGGTCATCTGCGAGGAAGTCGTGGAAAGTGTCTTTGCTGGTCACATCTTTCAAAACGGCACTGCTGCTAATTTCGACATGGTCCGAGATACCCGGGACCAGACGAATAGTACTCAAATACGGGGTCCAACAATTTCCGAGCCTTTGCTCGGTACAAGCACACTGCAACAGCCCAAAGTTTCTGTCGTCTTTGATGTCGACGTGCATAATTATCAATTCACAACACAACCCGGAGCCTTTCGGCGTGTTGTCATGAATCTTCTTGGGAATGCGCTCAAGTATACGTCGCATGGTTATGTGAGAATCAAACTAGGCTGTTCACCAATGGATGACTTTCAAGATCCAGATACAGGAGAGGTTGTTCCAAGAGCTATGGTGTCATTGACAGTTACGGATACCGGTAAAGGCATTGCGCCAGAGTTTTTGCGCTCGAAGCTTTTCACCCCGTTCGCACAAGAGAACTCTCTCTCAAGCGGGACAGGTCTTGGTTTGGCTATTGTCAAGAGTATCGTTCACATTCTTGAAGGCGATATTAGAATTGAGAGTGAAGTAGGAAGGGGCACTCGTAAGTCTCATACCTAATCCTTCCGTATTATTTTGCTGATTGTTATAAAGAGGTACGAGTTAATCTTCCTCTACTTCGTCAACTGCCCAAACATGTCGACTCTGCATCTACAAATACGCCCAAGTCTATAAATTCTCTTCCGCATGAGCCAGAGGAATCCATAACAAAGTTACGATTTCGCGTACAAGGCCAGCGAGTCTCGCTACACGGTTTTGACATAGATTCCCCGGATCCTGCCGTGAAGAAGACGGGAGAGCTCTTAAAGGCTTCGGTTGCGCAATTTGTCACTGAATGGTTTGGCCTACAGCTGGTTCCATTAGGGCAGAAAGCCGGTATCATTATTTCCAACGAGGCCAACGCCGATACCGTCTCACAAATAATCCATCACTCCCGCATCACCCACAACAAGCGGCCATCGATAGTAGTGCTTTGCTCTCACACATCCCGCTTTGATCGCACATCTTTTCAAACCGATTCAAGATCAAACGTCGGATATGTGGTCAAGCCAATTGGCCCTCTCAAATTAGGGAAAGCGATCGCGCAGTGTCTAGAAGGAGTGAGTCAGGCTACACCCAACCCACTCGATGCTCCGCAACCAGAAAGCGACTTGAGCAACATGTTTGAAGAGATGTCACTCAACCCAAAACGAAGCGAAGTATTGGACAACAGTCGGATGGCAGCAGACAGTGATAACGCTCGGAAGGTCATAGAAAGTCCAACTCCAAATGCATTAGAGATAGCGGAGTATCCCTTCCCGGTTCCAGAGAAACAACCCACTAGTCCCGAGTTGAAAAATGTGCCAGCGGCGGAGAAACCAGAAAACAAGCCTCCAGGGCTTCGAATTTCCGAGACTGCCATCAACACTAAGCTGCCTAGTAAGGACGTATCATCCCCGCAAAATCCCAAACCATCATTCCTCCTTGTCGATGACAACGCCATCAACCTCACCCTCCTGTCAACCTCAATCGGTAAACGCAAACACTCAATTATTGACACCGCCATGGACGGCGTCGCCGCCGTTCAAAGATACTCGGATCGCGAAGAAGGCTACGATATCGTGTTTATGGATATCTCGATGCCGTTACTCGATGGTTTTGGAGCTACAAAAGAAATTCGCGCGCTTGAACAACACCGCAAGATGAACTCTACAGCTGGAAATGGTGCTAGTGGGAAAGGACTTACGCCAGCGCTGATCATTGCGCTCACTGGACTGGCTTCTAGTGAGGATCAAGCTCGAGCGGCTGCTGTTGGAGTTGATTTGTTTTTGACCAAGCCTGTTAGTTTTAGAGAGGTGAAAAAGATGTTGGATAATTGGGAGGCGAATAGGATAAAGTGAGATAGAGTAGATAGTGTAGATAGTGAATGGTAGAAGGTGGTGAGGGAGGGAGTTGTAAATTGCAGGCGTTTTGGAGCTAGGTAGATGTGCATTGTATGATACCAGGTTGTATAGATGGATGGCGTGGTATGGCACGATGACAGGCATGAATTTTTGAATGAGATGAGCATAAATTTAGAATACAATAACCCTTCTAATAATCATCGTGAATATTATGCATGCTTGATTCTTTTTATGTTTGTTGTTTCTGTAAATGTATATGTGCTATACGTGGTTTGAGTATCTGTAACTATATCCTTATTATATGGACGTATCTTGGTATGGTACGGAGTAGGTAGGACTAGGACTAGGACCAGGACTTGTCAGGGGGGAGGCTGGCTGCTATGACTGACGTCATACAGCATGTGCTCACAATCCTGCCAAAACCTGCTCTCACGAATACGGATTTTTGATTATAAGTCATCTACCTGCTGCTGCACTTAATCTACTCTTCTCTTTATTTATTTACAAATATCAACATCAAAAGTAACCTCAAGTTTTTCAATTGACAAAATTCCCACCCAAAACCCAAAACCATCCTCCCCTATCTGACCCCCCATCATGCCTCTCTTCAACCGCAACTCCACCAGTTCCACTACTAAAGCCCCAGCCAAAGCGCCAGTAACCACTACAACGGATCGTCCCCAGCGCAGCAGCACCTTATTCGGACGCCGCGAAACACCCGCAGCAGCCACTAAAACGACAAGCCCACCGCGCCACAACCTCCTGCACCGAAACCACGAAGATGCATCGATCGTCAACGCCCGCGAGCGCGTGCAGAACGCCGAAGCGGCAGAGAGGGACGCCGACAGAGCGTTGATCCAGGCTCGTGCTGCGGTCAAGGAGGCTAGGGCACATGTGAAGAAGATTGAGCTGGAGGCTGCTGAGGAGTAAGTCGCTGCGCTCCCTATCGTGGTGTCACTTGCGTATATATACCCTATCTGAATGCGCGTACTGACTCGGTGGATTGTAGGGCTCGGCTTGCGAGGATCAAGCAGGAGCAGGCTTCGTCGATATCGAAGAGGGCTCAGCCTCTTGGTCGTAAGTCCGCTGTTCTGTTGCAGTGCGTTGATTGACTCGTTGCTGACTTGAGATTGTAGGCCATAACCATGCTTGATTGGTGCTACCCATATAGTCGGTGCACGGAAAATGATACCCCCTTTTTGATTTCTCTGGGATGTTGGGTTTGTAGCGCAGAAAGGATAGCGGATGCTGCTTTGGAGTTGTAGATGAAGGCGCGGTACTTGGCGGATTGTATTCATAGCTGTGTTAAATATCTTCAGCCAGGCATGTGTTCTCCGTCGCGTGATCCGAACCCCTTTTCATTCCCAGCCAAGCGATCAACAAGCCCCTTTATCTCATCATCCTCCCCATGCCCCCCTTCAAATACACCATCTCTAGTATCTAATTTTTCCTCTAACGCGGTGTGTCAGCTATATGTATAAGGTCAAAAAAAGATAAAGTGTTAATTAAAAAGATTTAGGGTATCCAATTAGTTATGATTATTAGCAGTAGAGTAGGAGGATAAGTCTGATTAGCCTAGAGAAGTAGTAGTAGGAGAAGTGTCGATATATGATGTATTCTTAGTTATCCCTCCTTTATAGGCGCAATTATGCTTCCTCTAACCCCCTTAAAAGTGCACTAGTACCTTCCGCTATATCCTCTTCTACTTCTACTTAGATATACGGTAAGCGTTATTACCAGTCGCTTCCCCGCGACGGCACTAGCGTCACAACAATCACGGTCCGTAAACGGCAGGCTCGATTCTGAGAGTCAGGAGTACTTTAACACTCTAATCTATCCTTCTTCAACATATTCCTTCTCTGCAATCTTCATTTCTTTCTTCTAGCAACGTTTCCACATCGATACAGCAATATGTATCTCCCTTGGACGCAGTGGCTATTGCCTCGCAAGAAGACTGCAGCAGCCTCTCGCTTGAGATCAACAACCCCTTGACTCTTCGGCTAACCCCTTTCCATTCAACATTATTACAACGTTATTAACCATTGTACACCAGACAATCAATATTACGCCAACAATTATTATTCACTACACACTCTTCCACCAATACTCAGCCACAAAACAGTCATCTATAATGAATATCAAGATCGTCAATCTAGCAAGCACGTTCTTGATCACTCATCCACAACTAAGACCAGCATCAACAAGCAAACAAACATGTCTAGCACAGCCCCCATCTTCTGCTGCACAGCAGCCGTCCCCGTGAATACGTCCATCGACAACAAACTATACTACGAGCTAAACCGCGAACTACACGATGCGATCTTCCGGTCATTCCTCGACTTCGCCATCCGCCGACAACGGGCCGGTGACCTTCTGCATCTCATCGGTAATGGCGCTGGCGCCTGTCGAAAGACGACCTCACCAACGGCCCCCCCAATACCAATGCTCATCCCACCTTTCACACTCGAAGCACTGAAAGATAACCCCCTCACCCCTCAAACGCCTTACTGCATTCACCTGACCTCCAGACACGACTTCGGCCCCGTCTATTCGCACCGATACTTCGCGTGCCCGGAACTACTTGAGGATGATTGGAGTGAGATTTCACTAGTGCAGTGGTTTGCGGAGGGTGAGGTAAGTTTTTGAAGTTTTGAAGGGAGTTGGGAAGATGGGAGTCATTTCGGGAGCTTATATGGCGGTCCTTGAATCCGCCCATCAGCTCCGCGGCTCTCTCCCAACCGTCAAGTTTTCGCCGTGCTAATTCGTTGACAGCCGTTCAAAATGAAGGCGGAGAAGTGGGATATCAAGTGTGTTGGTGATTCAACATTCTTTCGGTTGAGTTTGAGACCGAATTTGGGGATGCGGAATAGGGAACAAGTATTCTTGGGCATGAATGTGGCGGAGCTGGAGGGGAGCATGAATGGAACCTGGGAGGGGCTTGCTTGCCAGGTTCCTGCTTGTTCCGTGGAGCAATGGGAATGACTTGCGACAGCATAGATCTTTTAGGGTTGGATATGCGAGTGGTGGGTCTATGAATTCTTAAAACCATGACACATTAGGGCTGGATAGGGACTTGAGGATTATAGCGAGTGTGACCTTTGAAATATACCTATAGAACATTGGAAATCGATTCGTTGCTCAACGTTGTGCACTTGGAGTGAGAATTTGGGGACCGGCTAGAATGATCTGATCAGCAATACTTTTGCTTAGAAACATCTTAATCATTGTATGGATATTAGATGTGTACAATGTAAGAGATTGAAGTTGACGTATCGCATATCACAAGAATGCGCAGGAAAGCAATACGCATGCAACTTCTCGAAATCTCACCTCGACTAAGAAATTAGCCTGTAGAGTACAGTAGGCCCAGTGATAAGGACTAGACCCGGTCTGTTGTAGATCTCAAAATCTAGCCTAGGCCTGGTGTATTACGTGAGTGTGATGTGCAGTACGGCATTTGAGTAAGATTCGAGATGAAGTTGTTTGTTCCGGCGGTGGAGCGACAGATGTGATGTGTAATGGAATGGAGTGAGAGATGTGTGGAGCGAGCCATTGAGTGAGTGAGGTTGTTTTGCCAACCACCAGTAAGCTATCCCCACGCTACCGAGGCACCCGCACCTATACCTATATCCCTGCTAGCCCGACGCCCGCTCTTGATTTGACAACAACACAACACCCACCGCTGGGACGACGTCGACTTTTACTATTCCTACCAGAACACGACAGCCAACTGCACCCAGCTGCACTTTATCCGTAACGAGTGAGCGCACAACTAGGAATTGAGCAGGTCAGTCGCTCTTCTATCAGTTGAGATTGATCCCTCTTGCGATCCTTCTTCCAGCTCCTGTTCTGTTGTCGCGTACAAGGGACCTCGGCCCCAGCACACCGAGTAAACATTGCTCGAAGCTCTCGCCGACAAGCTGTCAGCGGTGCTACAGACAACACAAGAATCGCATACTGACGAATTCGAAGTAGATAGTATCCCACGAATATCCTTCTAGATCGCCCATCATGTCGGTCAAGTTCGAAAAAGATACGATTAAGCAGACGGGCGGGGTGGCGGGCACACAAGGCGCACCAGTAATCAAATCAGGCAAACACGAACTGGCAGATGAGATCGGAACTGCGTTGACTGGAGGCAAGGGAAATGCTGGCACGAAGGGTTACTTGGCTGTACGTGTTGTTGTATCCAGGGACCGGGACAGCTGGATTCTGTGCAGAGTGCTGATGACTTCCTCCTGCAGGCATACCTGAAGCAGCTTCAGACGAACCCTCTTCGCACAAAGATGCTGACATCAGGCACGTTATCTGGTCTACAAGAGCTTCTGGCTTCATGGATCGCGAAGGACCGCAACAAGAACGGCAACTACTTTACGGCTCGCGTGCCCAAGATGGCTGCATATGGAGCGTTCATTAGCGCGCCTCTGGGACATGTTTTGATCAGCATACTCCAGAAGCTGTTCGCAGGCCGTACGAGTCTCAAGGCCAAGATCCTTCAGATCCTTGTGAGCAACTTAGTTGTAAGTACCTCGATTCCCGCCACCTGCGATAGCCACTGACCAATTTCGAAGATCGCTCCAATCCAGAACAGCGTCTACTTGGTCTCGATGGCTATCATCGCTGGTGCGAAGACGATCCATCAAGTGCATGCAACCTGGAAGGCCGGCTTTATGCCTGTTATGAAGGTCAGCTGGATCTCTTCCCCGCTCGCGCTCGCGTTCGCACAAAAGTTCCTGCCTGAACACACTTGGGTTCCGTTCTTCAACATTATCGGCTTCGTCATTGGTACATATGTCAACTCGGTGACAAAGAAGAAGCGTCTCGCTGCTCTACGCAAGAGATATAACGATGAAAGGGGAGGCAGACCGGATGAGTACCCAAGTGGACCGAAATACTAAATGGGAAAATTGTGGTGATACGGAAGGGAGACTGGACTAGCGGAGCCATGTTGGTTACATCTCTAATGCACATTTTTCTGATCTGGGGAGAGTCGGGGCAAAAGGTTCTACTACGGCGCAACTATTGAATGATAATGAGTGGTTTTATTTGCGAACACCTGCACATACAGAAGTTCATGAGATTACTTTGCTTGTCATCTCGGGAGCGGCAAACACAAAGCAGCCATAGCACCTCGCATACTTGTATATTCGCTTTTCATTGGTCTATCACGAAGTATTTGTTTGCAGTTGTACGCCTCACGTGACCATATTGTACTCAAATTGTAGGTTTGTTCGTCCAGTGTTCATCATACACGTTAGCATGCTACACGACAGACGGGAAGGGAGTCATTGCCCTCGTCAGATGCCAGCGGCAGCTGTATGATGACATATCTAGTGATGTGAAGAAAGATTCTTCCTTACTAGGGCCAAGCCAAGAAGATGTCTTTATATTGTGTTCTCTCACTTTGAACTTCGGAGACAGATCCGACGCCTTCGTACGTACCGCAGATATTTCACGTGTGCGTCTTTTCTGCCTCCTGTCTCGTCGTTCTGGTATAAAATACCTGAAACATTCTTTGCATAGCACAGGATAATGGACCGGTGGCAGCTCACTGGCTATCGCGGTGGCCTGGTTGGGCGCGCACCTCCTAATGCCTATGGCGGAAGAGATCCCATCTCTCCACTCCGAGGCGGGGGCATGGGATTGCCCGATCGAGGTCCGGGCATAGGGATGGGCCATGGCCCTAGCCCTGGCTTGGGTGGCTTCCACGACCCCTTTTCAAGACGAGGACTCCAAGGAGGAATGGGCGGAAGGCTTCTCATGGGGCGACCTCCATACATGGCCGGCCCAGCCATGTCTCCCCTCCGCCCACCCATGGGGCGAGACATCGAGCCACGCCTTGCTCTCGCTCCAGGCCGCCGCTTCTCCTCTGGCGCAGACCCCCTCTACTACAACAGCTACGAGCGGGAGCGCGAGCGCAAAGAAGACTGGGACTGCCGCACTCAGGGCTTAGGCCTCAGCAGCCACCACCACACTCTCGGCTTCCCACGTGATTGCAACTGCGGCAGCGGCAGCACTCCACACTCGCACTCGCACAGCGGGCACAGTCACAGCCATCACCGCGGCGACGGCCTCGGCCACAACAAGCTCTTCAGCGAAGACAGCCACCGTGGCAGCAACTGCACCAAAGCGTCCGACTGTGACTTCCCCACCAAGGACATCGCAGTGCGCGGGAAAACGTACAGCGTGCGCTGCAGCTACCTAGCCGAAGCGTCGAAATTCGAAGCCGACCTGCAGAAATACGTCGACAAGAAGTCGGAGAAGATCCTGTCGGATCGTATCATCGAGATGCTCATCTCGTTTATCAACCGCGAGCGGTACGGCAACGACATGGCGCTCGACGAAGTCACCATGAACGTGCTGTGCACAAACGTAACTGCCAAGTCGGCTTTCGAGCATTCGCTGAAGAGATTGCAGAAGTATGACGGCGAGATTGATTCCTTTGAGATGAGTGAGATTTGCGCGACGATCCTGTGTAGTGATAAGGTTGATGATAAGCTGAAGGACTGGCTGAAGAAGTACATGTTGAAGGTCCCCGCTAGGATCGCGGAGCTGGATCGCAGTCAGAAGTGGGCCGAGTTGAATGAGGAGTTGCCCGAGGTTCGGGCGAGGCTGGCCGAGTTATTGGGGTTGAAACCGCCGCCGGTTGATGACAATCATAGGATTCTTTGACGGGTTGAGGAAGGAAAGGGGTGGCGTTGGGTTGGGTTAGGTTGAGTTGGGGTGAGGACTTGGGAAGGGTGCACGAACTTTTAATATGTTGCGATTACAAGGTAACGAATGCACTGTTTTTTTTTAGCATGAAGTTTTTGAAATTACATATCTCTTGTGTTTGAGATAATGTTGGCCTGCCTTTTCTCCACATGACTCAATCATAGCAGACTAAATTGGGAATGCTAGCTTCTTCCAACTTGGCTTCAATGCGATAACGGTATTTATTCGTGGTCTCTGACTTTATGCAGTAGCTCATACTGTGTGCTATTCGAAGACGCGTTTCTTTTAACTCAAGGAACCCCAATGAGGAAAGAACATTATTGAGATCCATACCTACTCCGTGTATTTGCATTCTGTAAAACCACCTACCTGTTATGCATGCAAGACAGCCATATATCGTTCAACTCGTTTCGTTTTCTTTTCCCATCTAACTACTGGTATTTCTCCACAAATACCTAAACCCAGTCAACCCCGCAACACTCCCAGACAACGCAACCAAGAAGTCGCCCATCAATCCATTCTCCAAGCTATAATGCACCGTAAGCGGCGCATACGCCAAATCAACCACCAACTGCTTCTTCCACAGCCGCCTCCAAGCCTCCTCGCTCTTCTCCTCAACCTCCTCATCGCCCTTCCCACTCTTCCCCCTCCTCACCTGCCACTCATGATACAGCTTCCCCAGATCTAACACCGTATGCGCCATCCAAAATCTCGAGCTCCAAACCCAAGCCCGTCCCTGCTTCTCACCATTCCATCCTAGCGCTCCCTTCGAGCTCAAATACGCCCCGTTCTCTAAATACTGGTAACACACATTGACGAAAACTTGCGCATACGCTATACGCGCCAGCACTTTATCCTTACTCGGTTCAAGCCATACGCTTTTCCCCCACGCCCATAAACCTAGTAAACCCCATAACCGCGCAAAGATCCTGAAATCGCTAATCAAACTGCTCAACGCCTTTAATCGCTGCGCTGTGACTAATAACCGTGAACTCGGTATGCTTGAGGTGTCGATGATCACGGTTGTGTTTGGGGGTAGGGAGATGGCGGTTTCGATTAGGGCGAGGGCCTGTTTGTGGATGCGGGAGATGGAGATGGAGGATAGGAGGACGGAGGACAAGAGGGTGGTGTAGCGAAGGGTACAGAGGAAGGAGTCGGTGCCGCTGGGGGTGGAGAGAATTTTGTTGAGGTGAGTAATGGTGCGGTCTGTCTTAGAGAGGTAGAGGGGTGCCCAGGATTTGAGGGTTTGGATGGAGGGGATAGGTGGGGGTTTTGGAGGGGAGGGTGTTGGGATTGAGATTGAGGAAGAGGGCGAGGTGTCTGGCGGGGGGATGCCGGTGATCTCGGACATGGCGACGTTTTACAGAGGGGAAAAGGGACAAAATGTCTCGAGATGTATATGAAGCAAGTGTAGATGGACTCTTATACTATCCTCACTCGGAAGGGCCGACGCGTTGGAATGCCGAGGTATATCATGTGATTGGGCTTCGAGCAGGGTTTGAGGTTGCCTATTTAGGCTAGGTGAATACCTCCGACGACCAGGTTTCGTCTGATACTTTTTCTCATCCTGCAATGACCACAAGCATGTCGATAATCAGCTTTGTATCTTTGTTGATGGTCCAGAATAACGCTTCAAGGTGAAGGGTTTCGTAGCAAGTATCTTGAATTATGCTTTTACTGACCGGAAACCAACTCCCCCTTTGCTCCGCCTACTTTGATAATACGAACCAGGTTGGACTCTTATTTCAGTCCATTACCTGTGTTTCCTTAAAAGATTTCGAAATGATGAGAAGTCTTGCGCAGAAGATGGCAGTTTCTGATCGTTCTTACCATGCCTTTGCGTGTCCATTTCATCATTACTAGCCGCAAGTTCTCCGTTTGGATGGTTCTCCTCCAAGATATTTTAGAAATGTTTAATTCTATTGCAATACTTCACTTAGGACCTAGAATAACATGACCAACTTTGGGCAGTTTTGCCCTAACTCCAACAGTGTTTTGCGGCCTTTCCCATAAAGGACTGTCAATTGTATCTTAGGCTCTTTATTTTGCTTTCATATGCTGGACACAAAAAGCGGCACTTACTTCATTCTCGTCGACTTTTAATGTCCCACGCTACGTGGCACAATATAAACTGTGTGCTGCTCTTTTCTGTCCACCGGGAGGTTTCTTCTTTTTGTTGAGACGGCCGTAAAACACTGCAGGAGTTGAAAGAAACAAGCGTTGGCTGGAAGTGCCGAGGAAGATGTTGTGAGTAGCTTGCAGACTCTGCTTGTCCGATGTCCTTAGCTTCAAGAACCTTCAGGAACAAGAACACTCGTTCGACTAAGTTGAAATAAATATTTTCAGCATTAAATGTAGGTTGACTCAAAATAAAGTGACTAGTAAAATGACTTCCCTTGCGAGCGCCTTGGTTTCGCCATTGGAACAGTACATCCAGCCCTTACAAACCCTCCGAAACTTTTATCACATATCTTATGTTGTCGCAACCTCTGTGAATCAATGTTAGTTGAAAGGCTCGACAAATGTGAATGGAATGTGTGAGCAACCTGGCTCGCATTAGATTTCGTCTCTTTCCACCATCTACGGTTCAGATCTCGGTTCGCTTTGACAACAGTCACCGACTTCCATCACCACCAGCAAGCTCTAGCCAGACATAACTTCAACCGTCTCGACATAATTGTCATCAAAAGCTACAGCAATCTTTGATTCACCAAGCCCGGGAAATCAACATCTGCATAGCGAGAACAACCACACGGCACGAGATGCTGCCGCCATCCAAACGGTCACGTCGTCGCACAATGGAGGCCTTAGAATCGATTTCCGAGAATGTTCCAACAGCTACGGGATCGCAAATCTCGTCGCCATTGAAAGCACGACGCCAATCTTTATCACCCGTCATGAATCCTCCGCCCGCGGCTCGATATCAAGCTGTGTATACAAACAATCATCACGCATGCACCCATCATATCATGACCCGTATGTACTCAACACAATTTCGATGCTCGGTCTGTTTTGAGCCAGGTCATTTGGGATGGCTGTACAGGTGTGCTCAAGATAGAGAGCTTCTCCTGGACGACGAATGGGAGCGCGGCTTCAAGGTTCGTGTCAATAAGAGCGCTTTCATACAATATGCTAATAAATGATATAGGACACGATGGATCCTATCTGCAGCCTCTTTGACAGACCTAGCAGCCGCCCGAGAAGTCCTGAGTCAAGGATGTCAAGGCTGGCCTTCCTGACTGAAATCACAGATGAGCAGTTCAAGACCTATTCACCTTCGCAGGTTACTCAAGTTCTCGAGCAGAGATCCCATGTATGTACAACGGTATTCTTCGATTTCAGCTCCAGCAGCACGTATATACCGTTCTAGAAGACTTTTTAACGCCTCATAGCTCTTGGACGTCCTCAACAAAGCCACCAAAGATGATGTTGGTCTCGCAAACAGCCATCTTCTCTCGAAGTCCGCCACCCGGCAGAGCGCGACATCGTCCGAGACAGTTCCCGAGTCAACCGCAGAGAAGCCATGGCTGCTAAATGAAGAATGTCAATATAAAATCTGCGCTAGATGCAAACCTATTTGCCAAGACCGTTCATATCTCAGCTTGGATGCGACCGTCAATGGCGATATTCCTGCTACAGCGGTTACGGCGTTTGGTTTTGGCCTCCTGGGATGTCGTCCTGTTGTATCCGCTGAGCTCATGAAGAACATTGGGCTGAATCGGCCGAGACAATCACCTCCACCTGTAAGTCATCCCCACTGGAAGTATTGGCAACAATTTTTCTGCATCTTTAGATGATTTAGCTAACATGCCCAAGCGTTCCCAAATTCTCCCCGAGACGACTACAAATCCTTGGAATACTTTAGGTCTTGGCATCTTCGCTGGCGACGAAGAGCCTACTTCATCCAACCCGCTAGTTCCTGAAGATACTCGCAGCTCTACGTCCTTCCAGCAACCGAGTCCAGCCCTCGTGTTCCGCGGATCCGATGAAGACCCCGATAAAACACCCACCCAAAGCTCCTTCTCCTTCTCCATCCTCCCTCCCAGCAATCCCTGGGTTCCCACCTTGCCTCACCGCCCTCTCTTCACACACCCCAACACCTCAATCAGTCTGCACCTAGCTCACGACACACCGCTAGCCCATGAAACAGACGAAGAAGTCGGGATTACAAATGAAGAAGCACGAAGACCGCTGACGCCGATGGAGAAAAATGAATCTAAGGAAGGGAAATTTGGAAGTCTGCCGCTGAGGGTTGGGGATGGTGTTGCAGTGCTAGAGGAGAGTGTTGAGTTGCATGAGGCGGATATTATTACGCAGTGCTGAATGAAGGTATGATGTTAGTTTGGGTGCTGCGTAGGGGACTTAATACCTGCGAAGGAATTTGTAGGATATAGAGTGGTGTTTAGTGAATATGATGTATATGGATAAGAAAAGGGGTAACCCGGAAAATTCGTAAAAAATGAAAAGGGACATAAAGCTTTCTCTGAAAAGCAAGATAAATATACTTATCTACGGAACACTCATAATACTTATATATATAACTATTCCTCCTACATCGGCAGAATTCCCACCAGTGCACCTTCCTTTAGGTTTCCTCGTGTATAATATCACAAGGCGATCCTTGTTGACGAGTTCCTGCTATCACATCTGGAGCTGCTTTCTAGTTATATTCAAACATTCATTGAAATTCCGATGTTGCCTAAAGACGTTCCAGCATCTCTTCCAGCACATAGCACATCCGTGGCAGTGGAAAATTTCCATTTCTGCTTTCGATACACTAAGCGTTTCTTAACCTAATGCCACTTGTTTCCAAACCCTATTCCGCAATTTGGCCCACCCGGTCTGTTCCATAAAGAGAATACCAATTCGATAAGCAACTCCATCCCTCCATTCAACCGCTAGAGCAACCAGACTGGGGTTTTCCCCCTTGTAGTAGTTCATAGAGATGACGATAAAGTCCATCGCTAGTACATTGTACCTTCGATGGCCTTCGAGCATCCAACTAGGGATGGAACCTTCTGGTACTTCCGACAATTCGACATTGTTAAGGTTTAGGTGAGCTGTTGCATCCATATATAAGCGGGCGTCATATTCGGGAAAGCTATTTTCGGGGAAGTTTGTAGTGAAGATCATAACAGAATATTGATCTACGGATTTACCAAACCAAAGATTGTCTTGCAATTGCTCCCAGAGGATATGAAGTGTTGCTGTGCTCGTCCAGAAATGCAAAATTCCTGTATTCACTGGCGTTATATAGAGTGTCTCGCGAAATATTTGAGGTTGGTCCTTCCATTCACGATGGAACTCTAAAAGTTCTGGTGGTCCAGTTATTTGATGATCTTTCAAAGGGACTTCTGTAACTCGACTTGGACCAGATGATACTTGACTGACTTGTTTCAATTGTCCTTCGATGTCATAACTGTAAAAGACGATCGCTGGTTGTCTTTCTTGATCAAATGCGTGTTCATGCCAGCTTATCCAAGAATGAGCAGAGCTGCCATGCCAAGCAGCCCAACTCCAACTTGGGAATGGAACAGGCAAAGTTACTGAACCACTTTTTGCTACTTGGTCACAAAAGGCGTGGTTTCGTTTTCCACCGCCGCGCAGCCACCAGCATAGAGACTTATCAAAATTTGAAGTTGGTAGACCCCAATGAAATGATTCTTTCTCGGTCGCAGCTAAGACTTGACACAGGCCAGAAAATGCATTCAGTATATCCGACTTGAATGTAAGTTGACGATGCCTGTAGTAGTTGACAAGCATCTGGTAAACTTTAAGCCCAGTTATTACTGAAAAGAACCCGTGGTCCGTTGGATCTCGAATGGGATTATGGAGGAAAGTCATGGCGTGAACATCTTCAAGAACAACCTCTTCGAGCCAGACAGCTTTCCAGCAGCTCCAATAGACTTGTTGGTCGGTGAAAATTAAAAGTTTCTTTGATAGAATCTGCTCCTGCAAGGTCCATGCTCTAGTGATCCAATGTGACTTTTTGACGCCACTATAGTAGTCTCTCCCATCAATAACTTCAAGTAAAGTTTTATCGCCTAATTTCACAGCCCGTTGGCTGATGATCCGTGGATCGGAATGAATTCCTGGAAGTCCAGTATTGGCATTATTTCCAGAAGCAGCCACTATAGTGAAAGCTGCACGAGAATAGATAAGACCCATCTGCGTCAACTGCGCTTTTTGCACGGCCGCATCATCTTGGACGATACATAGTGCATCAACCCACAAATATCTCTCTCCAACTTCCTGAACAAGCGCAATAGCATCCTTGATTGTTGCCGGCACGTTTGAATCTAAGAGAGCTCGGGTTTTCCGAAGCGCCGCCGAATTTTGAATAGTGTGTTTTAACATCGACACCGTTCCCCAACAGTAGCTGAGTGCAACATATCGACAGTCAACGGGAGCATCAATAATGCACATTCGTTCTGAATCTATTACAAGTAAAGATCTTAGTACTTGTTCGGCTTGCTCCGGGAAGAGTGGTTGTCCATAGCTGGGGCCATGTAATGTACTACACAGCTTTATCCACTTCGAAATAAGTTTCGGATTTATCCTCGAACTAACCAAACGACCGCTGAACCTTGTGTCGGTACTCTGGGATGGAGGAGTGTGTGTTTGTTGATGATGATGATGATGATCATCATCATCATTATCATCGATGGTTGGGACTAGAGAAGAGCATTCCTGTAGTTCTAAGATACAGCGAGGTTGCCTCTCCAAAGCAGCTTCTTGATCATGTGCCTCTACAGGGCCGATCATTCTATCAAATGGCTCTCGTATTTCGAACACTGATAAGCGGAGTGTCTCCAGATTTTTGCCATGTTTGTCTATAGTTGAGCAGAAAGGTACGAGTATGATTTCGATTTGCCTGTCCAGTTCTACACGGCTTTTCTCAATATGGTGTGCAATCAAATTACATAGCTCGCACGCCTCCTTGCGCCGGATGATGTCGCTTGCTTGCTGTAGCACCCTTGGGCCAAATAACGAGCTATGTTTCCAATTTTACCGTTAGTTCTCTTTCTAGGTAATATGCTATAAGTAGAAAGGTGGGTAGGGGTACTTATAACGTGAGGCAATAGTAGGTGGGCTGCTATCTTGCTCCAAAGCCGTATCTACTCTCTCAGCCTCGTAGAGGTGACCAGAATCGAATTCGCTTTGACCACCTTCAAGAAAGTACTCAAGGCGACGCGCATCGCTAGCAGAGATGAAGTATTTGAGCCTCCAAAGGTTCCGGTACCTATTTTTCCCAAATTGAGAGCATTGTTTGCAGATGGGCATTGTGGAGGATAAGTTGAATTACCACCGAGGCACTAACGCGGCACCACTGCGAGACAAGAAGTCGTTTGAAAGCTCCGGGAAGTAAATAGTAAAACGGAAGTCGAAGTATCATACAAATAGTGTATAAACAGCCTGTGTGCTATTTCTAGTGGCAGATATTGCTGTTCGTGGTGATAAAGAGTCAAGACCGAGAAACGCGGCCCTGAAATAATTGTGACTACGTGGCTGTTAGTAGTTTATGTATAGATGCCTTACTATGCTAGCACTAAATAGGCATCTAAACAAGGACAGTTCTTTCTAGATAATCCAGCATGTCAGCTGTAAATATTAACCACTAATATACCCTTAGCTCTCTGCAAGAGAGCAGATTAAGACAGACTAATTCGGCACTTCTACCTTTCAGCTATCTTTTTTCGGGCATTTGCGTAGATATAACCTAATCACTTTATAACTTTATAACTTTATAACTTTTTTATTTTCTACTTCTATAAAATCAGCTATACTAGTAGAATCTATCGATGAATTAAAGTCTTCTTTTTTAATTTCCTAATCTTTTACTTTAATTTAGGCTTCTTTTATAGCTTATATATTTAGTTTATACATAGTACACTAGTCTAGCCTAGGATCAATCGTGGTTATGTGGTTGCATTTCTAGATGTAGAAAAGGTTCTAGGTAAGGTTGCAGCGATGAAGTGAAAGGCCAGGCTTTATCGCTGCTTACTCGTAGTCACCGGAGCTAAGGTCACGCGGTACACGTAACATATATCCCAACACTATGCATATATTAACACACCTATATTCTACCTTGCATTCTAGCCAGTCTCTTCGGTCAAGGTTATCGGAGGTGGATAAGACCCCGGGGATGGAGCGGTGGTATCGGCGTCTGATTGTGGTATATAAACACCCCTTCATTCGACTCTTGAACGATCAATAGCGTCCTTGTTTAAAAAAAAAAAGCAAAACATGTGTTGTGGCCGGCGTTGCTTGAAAGGATCGCCGCGGGGCACTTGCTGTGATAACTTGCATATGAAATGATTAGAATGAATATATCTGATTGCATCTCCTCTTAAAGTATCACATCTTGATCGTCGGATGTTCAATTGACCGTAATTTGCATTTGACAGCAGATGATATTCGGCTCTTGTGTGATATAGTAAAAAGATCACTCCTTACCAATATTTTGCCACATTGTAAAACTCCTGTGATTCTTAGCTTGAAATTGTTTAAGCCGTGCTGGCATGTCTATAGCGATAGGCAGAAGAAACCTGGTTGACCCATTCCACCATAGACTGCCTGAGTGATTGCCGGATCGAGAAAAGCTGGCTAGTCTAAGGTAAGCTGTTAAACGGTGGGCTTTTATAGAGACCTTGAATTGTGAGGGAGCGATTTGGGATCACTCGTGCATAATGGAACGCTCTAAAGGTGAATCACTGCCTTGATTTCTTCGAGACCTGGACTTCTGCTCGGGGTATATAAACATTTCATACTCTCGAATGATTCTTGCCTAATAGCAATAACAAACGGAAGGGCTGCTGGCCATTGGCTTTTGCGAGATGAAGAAGTTTATTGGACACTTGCATAGGATTTTCCAACACGATATATGTTAGAGTATCAAACTTCAATTCAATACCCCTTCACTTCAATGATTAACTCAATTCATCTCATTTCTTTGAATGAATGACAGCATAGATGACAGCAAGCTATAACTCGACGATTTAGTTCTCGTAAGATACGATATTTCTTGCAAAGTATAGATGGATCGAGCCTTTGCATTTCTTAAAAGCGAGACGAGGTGATCATCAACTTTTCTCGCTCGTAGTACTCAATGAAGGGGTCTCAGGTGTGGGGATTGGATTGGGTCTTACCGTTTTAGAAACCCAGATCTGACCGGTTGTTATACTAGACCTCTTTTGAAAACCTCACGTTGATCGTGAGCCATCAGCGGGCAATACCATGTTTAAAAGAAGCGCTTATCTGACAATTTTACCCAATCAATCGCCGGGCTGACTTGGGTCTTCAGAGCTTACCTGGAAGCCTGGATTGGCCCTGCCGCACAAGTCGTACTATACAACAAGCCGAATAGACATCATGCAAAGTCTCTCCATTGCTTTCTCCTCTCAAAGTATCAGAGATAAATCGTCGGATCTTTCGACCATACAATGTTCTTTGACAGCATCCAACGATTAGTATCAGCGTTGGAATAACTAGGCTAAGCAGCCCAGCCCTCGGAAAACTCGTCTCCACCGGCTGCGATGATCTTGCACTTCTCTTCTCGGCTCCATATAGAAGTCCATGCACATGAGTCTGCAGGTAATGCTGCTATGCGTATAAAGGTAAGAATAGGAGGTTTAAGGGTCGCTTTATATAGAGAACATCGAACTGTGCATTCACAACTTACCTAGTGTATCTTGCTGCCTGATCAATAATCCGAAGGAAGTGAATAAGCACCAAGTTTTAAAGTTTCCTTGGATCCAATCTACTTTCAAGATGTATCAACACCCTTTTCTAGAAGATGCTTCAGTAACTAAATGAGAAGAATAACCAGATCAAGCATGTGAGATATTAAAAGTGGTTGTATATTAGGTTTACCTAAATTTGAGAGTCTATCTTTAGATAATTTCGACTTAACACCCCCTCCTTATTAAAAGTTTAACGAATCGATCATCGGATCTGATATAGTGAATGGATTTATACATGATAGCACTTCTTAAAATTAACTTGACAGCTGAACCGAGCAGCTGATAAGAATTCTTGTAAATTATAAAGCACTTTTATTCACGAAACCACAGCAACCTGTTCAAGTAAGACACCTAAGAGAATCCTGAACAAAGCCCTCTTAATAAAGACAGATATCCGAGATGTAGTAGATAGATACTAGATCATGGAAGCATAATACTTTATATTTATAGCTAGCTAAGCCGCAACTGAAGTGAAGTCGAAGCCTAAAACATAACTCTTACTAACTCCGTCTTCTTAAGGAATTCAAGAAATGTAGATAACAACTGCAATTGCAAGGATCTTAGTTAAAGATAAATTCAAGAGCGGTTTGAGATATGAGGGAGCGAGCGAGTGTGAAAGCTCATGATTCCCCTCTCTTGATCTTCAAATAAGGACGAGCAGTAGCAAGAAACTTGGAAATAGAAACGGAGCGTTTAGAAGGACATGGCGGGGTTATAGGTGAATGTTATGAATATCAATAGCAAAATCTAACATGAATGAAATATTATGCTTGACAGCAAAGTAGACAAGTTTAGATAAAGAATCTTCGGTGAAAGTGGGACAAGAAGGTGGCGATTTCATAATAATCACATATCCTATGATCCCTACTAACTCTTTCACTAGACTATCCTTTGCACACGCACAGCAGTGTTAAGGATAGGTTTGGCACTTTGTTTCTTGAATACCGTGTGCAAAGTTGAAATAGTAGCTTTTATACTCAAGCACCCCCTTCTCCTATCCCTTTCTGTGGAAAATATATATACTATAATCTATGCCTAGAACTCACACCTTAGCCTCCTATAATATGCATAAACAATCTATCCTTAAACCTATCTATAGAAAAACAGAAACAGCAAGCTCAGTATGTCCAAGCAGGCACTTACGCGAATTCCCTCTTCGTTGACATCATACCACAGAACGAAGAAAGAAGGACTCAACACACGCACACCTCCTAATCCCCGACTCCAAAGCCCACATGGAGTCTCTCTCTATACTATATAGAAGAATAAACGAATGAATGGATGGATATAAATACCAGCAAACCCAACTCTAACAACAAATATCCTCCCTCCTCCCTCCGTGTGCGTATGAAATCCTCGCTCTTACATATATATATACACACAAGCGGGAATATATACGGATATTCGAGAGCGGGAATCCTCGAATTAGAACAGTGCCTCTCATCCCTTGACCCAAGCCTTGCGTCAAATATACCTTGAATGCATTTCCCCTTACTTAGTTATGCCTAGACGATAACGCTACTTTTTTATACCACCAAGTGGGAAAAGAAAAAGGGGATATCTGGTGGGTAAGTGCTGGGCATGTGAATATGAAGTGGGGAAGCTGGAATTTTGTACAAGTGTATGTACGTATACGTATGAAGTCGAGGCAAGAAAGGGGACATATTTGATTTTTGGACATCAAGGAGAAGGAGAAGGGGAAGGAGGTAAGGATGAATAATAATGGTATAGTCATGGTAGCATTACATTTACAGAATCGTAACCTCATAAGCGCATTAAGCCCCCTCCACAATACAAGCACGTCTCACATCTACAACCCTCTTACATGCAGAAGACCCCAGTACTGTCACCGTCCCCTTGCACCCATCTCCCCCTCCTTCCTCTTGGCCAAGAGACTTTTGATAGCCCCAAGACACTTATTCAAGCCATCCTCCGTCCTCGCACAGAACTTATAGCTCTTCTCCTCGGTAATAACCTGAAAACAAAGCCGTTTCGTCCTGCTAAGGGGATCAATCTCCACCGCGTTAATCACGCTGTTTAGCGGTATAATCACCAGCGTCGAATATTCGCTATCGTTTTTGTAAAACTGGATATTTCGTGGTCGGATGACCGCCCATAGGTCTTTCCATTGCCGGATCCCGTTCTTGCTTTTGAGATATAGGAGGTGTCCTTGCCATACTACACGCTCGGGATCGAGTTCGGGGTTCAGGACGGACATTTGGGAGGCGTTGCGCGCGCCTAGCATGGGGCGGATGCCTGTGCTTGTGCCGGGGGCTTGGACGGCGAGTGATTCTTCGGGGATGGAAAGACTAGAGGCGCCTGCTGCGCGTGCGAAATCATTGTCTGACATATCTGAGTGGGAGGCTAATTCGTTGCCGGAGTAGTCGAAGGTATGTGATGTTTTGCGGGGACCGCCGAGTTTGGATCGTGGTTGCGGCATGCTTTCTAGGGGTTCCGGGGAGCTGGAGCCAAGTCGTTCGTCATGGAGGAGTTTGGCTTCGTTGTGTTGTTGCATGGCACGGTCGAAGCCGCTGTATGTGCCTGTGGCGTTGCCGCTGGGACTTGCGAGGAGCATCTCTTCTTCCTCCTCCTCGATTCGTGCCGACCGTCTGATGAGCTCAACCCATTCTTCGGCGTCTTTTCTGGATTTCGCTTCGAGGTGGTAGTTTCGTGAGGGAGAGAAGAGTCCAAACACGTTTTCGCGCTTGTGTTTGGGGTCTTTTAGGAAGGCAACTGCTGTGAGGTCTGCGAGTTGGATCTTATGCCGTAGCTTGTCCTCCTTCTGATCTCTATATATCGAAAGGAAATTTGACCGTAGGACTAAGTATATTGGCTTCCATGCCTATTCAATGTCAGGATGAATTGCTTGAAGCAGATGGGGCTTCCTCCTCACCTTTGTTTTCCGTGTCCGTTTCTGAACATATCCACTCTTTAGCACCCGATCGAACTCGAAGCTGCCGTTCTGATTTACTGGAGAGAAAGAATCGAGGGCAAGATGCGAGTTGCGCATGCGACTGGCAGAGCTGGAAGGAGGTAATGAGACAGCGGCGGATCGAGGGATTTGCAGCGCTGTCGTTCGGGGTGGAATCTGGCGAGGCTGACTTGCTTCTGGCATCATAGCTGTTGTCTGCTTCTGTGTCTGTGTCGGTGTCGGTGTCGGTGTCTGCACATCGGCCATGATCATGATGATGGCAGTAAGGGATTTTATATTTGTGACTGGGTGGTAGGGCCAAAAGAATAAATGATTGAATGACTTCACTGGTGAATTATTGACGTCGTAGTGGTGTTAGGTAGGTTTGCTCTAGAAAAGAAGCGGCTGTTTGTCCGTTACCAGCCCTACCTAGTACACCTACCTAGCCACCGTGTTTCTTTTGCTATAGAACTACTCGTAGCTCCCGTCGTTGGTCTCAGAAACGATTGAAACTTGTAAAGGTAACTTCTCGAGACGTCGACATTGTAATTATAATTATTATGGCAGGGCAGTCTAGAAGTATGTACTTTACCAGAAGGAAGCGAGCAATGCGATAGAGGATTGTGAAGTTTAAATTAAATTAAGCCATCCTATTGCAGCATGGGCGAATCATGAAACTCTGCTGCTTCAAGGATGGTGTTGGGGAAGGGAGCGATCAGCCAATGCATCTGCCAAAGATCGGAAGGCCTCACATCCAAAGGGGAGCCAGAGAGGTCGATGTAGATTTGGAGACTTGCTATAAAAGGATCATCCAAAGTTTTAGGAAACGCCGAGTCTAGGCCATGTTGGTCGCAATGGTTCATGCAGATTCAGGAACGAAGGATAGATCTCGTTTGATAGGGTTAGAACGTACTGTAGGAGCATAGAAAGAATTGATGCGTCGCGGTCGCGTCTACATCGGACGACCCCCTTCAGACAGGGGAACAACATACATACATACATACAGTAAAGGGGGGCTGATAAGGAATGTTGTACTGTATCACATACATTACGGTCACGGGACTGGACATATAATCGGTGCTTATTTATTCCGATGCCGACCCCTGCCCTGTTCCGTTTTGGTGGGGTTGTTCCGTCCGTACTCCGTATTTCGACTCACTCTGACGCGCGAGGGGTGCAAAATTTCATATTTCCACCAGCTACACTGATATAAATTCGACATCTACAACACTCCTCTGGCCATTCCCCCGAGTAACATGAAGCATCATATCCAGAATGCCTGTCGTCAATCCAGAAAAACTGGTAGCTCTACAGCGGAATCCAGACGGCATCAGAAATGTACGTTGCGCCCTGGTGGGGTAAATTTATATCTTTGCTGACACCATTCAAGATTTGTATCTTAGCCCACGTTGTGAGTACTCTTTTTATACAAATACAGTGATACTACTAACCTACCTCACAGGATCATGGAAAAACATCCCTTTCAGACGCCCTCATTGCTACCAACGGCATCATTTCCCCCAAACTCGCAGGCAAGATTCGATACCTCGACTCCCGTCCCGATGAACAAACTAGAGGTATTACCATGGAATCATCTGCCATCTCCCTCTTCTTCTCCATGCTACGAAGATCTGCGCCCAATGCTACGCCCGAACCAAAGGAATATTTGATCAACTTGATAGACTCTCCCGGACACATCGATTTCAGCAGCGAAGTCTCAACCGCGTCACGTCTGTGTGATGGCGCAGTGGTCCTAGTGGATGCCGTGGAAGGTGTATGCAGTCAGACTGTTACAGTGCTGCGGCAGACTTGGGTTGAGCACATGAAGCCTTTGCTTGTTATCAATAAGATGGACAGGCTAATTACCGAACTCAAAATGACTCCTGGAGAAGCATACATACATCTCAGCAAACTACTAGAACAAGTTAATGCCGTTCTAGGAAGTTTCTTCCAAGGTGAGCGAATGGAGGAGGATCTAAACTGGCGGGAAAGAGTCGACGAGAGAATTGCTGCGGCAGCTGCCAAAGAACTCGAGAAATCAGAAAAAGATGTCGTTGGCAACTCGGTCGATATCGATACCATGGCTGCAAACCCCGAGTTCGAAGAAAAAGATGACGAAGATCTTTATTTTGCCCCAGAAAAGAACAATGTTATATTTAGCAGTGCCATCGATGGCTGGGCATTTACCGTCAGGCAATTTGCAAGCTTATACGAGAAGAAATTGGGCATAAAGCGCACGGCTATGGAGAAAGTGCTCTGGGGAGACTTCTATCTAGATCCGAAGACCAAGAAAGTTTTGGCGCAAAAACATTTAAAGGGCCGTAATCTCAAACCAATGTTCGTTCAGTTGGTGCTTGAGCAGATTTGGGCTGTATATTCTGCAACTACTGGTGGGGACAAGGGGAAGGGGTGCGTGGATTTCATCTTCTCAATCCTGTCTATAATATTAATGAATATTGTTCTGACTTCTCCGCAGTGATCCTGCCATGACCGAAAAGATTACAAAATCACTAAACCTCACTCTTCCTCCACATATCGTTCGCTCACGAGATCCTCGAGCGATCCTCACAGCGCTGTTTTCCGCCTGGTTACCATTATCCACCGCACTTCTCGTCTCTGTCATCGAATCACTACCATCACCTCCGATTGCTCAGGAAAGCAGGTTACCAGGTCTCATTGATGCTTCACCTGGTCATACTCATGTCGATCCCAAGGTCCGCGATGCAATGGTAAAGTCCAAAGCCTCCACGGATGACCCAGTCGTCGCATATGTCAGCAAAATGGTATCGATTCCCGAAAGCGAACTCCCAGAGAACAAACGCCGTGGAGGAACACTTAGTCCCGAAGAAGCAAGAGAAATGGGTCGACGGAAGAGAGCAGAAATTGCTCGAGCACAGGCATTGGAGAACGGAACTGCTGAAGATCCTGTAAACGGACTTACTGAGACGATAGGAGACGCCAGTCTTGAGGAAAAGAAGCCAGAAGACGAGGCCCAGCCTAAGGAGCACCTCATTGGTTTCGCGAGAATATACTCCGGGACCCTCTCAGTCGGCGACTCAGTCTATGTCTTACCCCCCAAATTCTCCCCAGCACACCCACACAATAGTCCTGAGCCACAAAAGGTCACTGTCACAGCTTTATACCTCCTCATGGGCCGCGGTCTCGAACCACTCACCTCCGTCCCCGCCGGTGTAGTGTTCGGCATTGGCGGCCTAGAAGGCCATATTCTCAAATCCGGCACAGTTTGCAGTCAACTCATCGGTAGCGTCAATCTCGCAGGAGTGAACATGGGCTCGGCACCCATCGTGCGCGTAGCACTCGAACCCGTCAACCCTGCTGATCTCGACAAAATGATTTCTGGTCTTAAATTATTGGTTCAAAGCGATCCTTGTGCTGAATACGAGCAGTTTTCTAGTGGTGAACATGTGTTGCTGACTGCTGGGGAATTACATTTGGAGAGATGTCTGACGGATTTGAGGGAGCGGTTTGCAAAGTGTGAGGTTCAGGCTGGCGAGCCGATTGTGCCGTATAGGGAGACTATTGTTAGGGCGGAGGAGATGAAACCACCTGCTAACAAAGAGCTTGGGAGGGGAACGGTCATTGCGGTTACTACTTCAAAGCAAGTTACGATTCGATTACGTGTGAGGCCTTTACCAGCTGAGGTGACGGAGTTCTTGTCTAAGAATTTCAGTGCTATCAAACGACTTTACTCTGAGCGCCAAGCGGAAGAGAAAGGAAAGCAAACGGAGAGTCAAGATGGATCGGATCAAGAAGACGCCGATGAGGACGGTGTGGTGGATCATACAAAGATTTTATCACTCGCGGAGTTCAAGAAACAGCTCCAAGCAACGTTTGAGAGTGTAAAGGCCCAACGAGATGTCTGGGCAAATGTCGTGGATCAAATCTCTGCGTTCGGGCCCCGAAGAACAGGTCCTAACTTACTGATTGATGCTACAAAAGAAGGCATATGTGGTCGATTGTAAGTTTTCCTGGCCTTTCTAAATCATCAATACTAACACCGCCCAGCCTGAACGACAACACCACCGCTTCTAAAACCGCGGAACAAAACACATCCTCATCCCTAAGCCCAGCATCATTCTCCGACAAAATAACCCATGCCTTCCAACTCTCCACCCTACAAGGACCCCTCTGCGCAGAACCCATGCAAGGCGTAGCCGTCTTCCTCGATTCCGTCACCGTCACCCCTTCCCCAACCGAAGAAGAATCCTCACTAGGTCGTTTAACGGGCGAAGTGATCAAAGCTGTGCAAACGGGTATAAAACAGGGGTTCCTGGATTGGTCCCCGAGGATTCTATTAGCCATGTATTCATGTGAGATTCAAGCTAGCAGTACGTCTCCTATTCTCCATTTCCTCTTTATGCATCTCTTTGCTTTCTGCATATACATAAGAGCTAACATCTATCTGCACAGCCGAAGTCCTAGGCCGCGTCTACGACGTCCTAACCCGTCGCCGCGGCACCATCCTCTCCGAATCGTAAGCCAACTCGCCCCCTTCCCAACCCCCTTTGAATCCATGTCATCTCACTCACCCCATCACACCAACTAACCCCCCCTCATAGACTCCTCGAAGGCTCCTCCTCCTTCACGATCCTCTCCCTCCTCCCCGTCGCCGAATCCTTCGGTTTCTCCGACGAAATCCGCAAGCGCACCTCCGGCGCCGCCTCGCCGCAACTCATATGGCGCGGCTACGAGATCCTGCACGAGGACCCCTACTGGGTGCCGCGCACCGAGGAAGAGATGGAGGACCTGGGCGAGTTTGCCGATAAGGAGAATGTGGCGAAGCGGTATGTGGATGGTGTGAGGAGGCGTAAGGGCATGCTTGTTACGGGACGGGGGGAGAGGAGGGAGGGGGAGAAACAGAAGACGCTTAAGAGGTAGATGTGGAATTACAGTGTGCTGACTTTGTTCGTTTTTGTTGCTCTGTTATCCTAAATCCCCTCTAGGAATACCATAAGCATCAGAATCAAAACGAAGCTATACATGCTCCATCTAGCCTATCCTTAGAAATAATACCCCTTCCTTCCTTCAAAATACCAATTTTCCTACCTTGACTTGCACATAGCAAGCTGTTAATTGCCATTCGCTTTTGCTATTCCTCTCTGTTGATTTACAAACACTTCCCAGGCCTAAACCACCACCTTGTACATACGTGCTTGTATACTCAGCTCTCTCCATTTTCAATGTAAACGCTGGTACCGGTGCATTTCTGATGCTCTGAATGCGTAAATGGTATAGTTTATGATGCTACTATAATCCATTCTCTTGGATAGAGGAAGTGATTTAAGAGGTTCTGAAAGATAACACTGTCCTATCCTTGCTACTCCCCATCATGTACCAGCAGGCAATTAAGTTAATGAACTTCGATACAGTGATTATAAGCTACTTCTGAGCTCCGCGGTGCTTAAACACGAAAAGGTACATTGTATTCATTCAATGTAGCACGTGGGAAACGAAAATCTTTCGGAAATATAATGTACTAGTCCGTGGTGTTTTTCAGCAAGGCAGTGGAAGTGATCTGTTCCGATCAATTCACTGATAAGCCGCACTCCTTTTCTACCCGACGTGGACTGAAAGAGTGAGATTGGTTTTGAGAATCGGTCGGTGGGATTCTCTGCCAATTTCAGGACTTTCGCTTGGAACGAGCAAGTCTATCATACCTAGGTAGTAACCTAGGACCTTTGAAGTTTGAACTCAACTCCAATACACTCCCCTTTCAACCTGTACTTGTAACGCTCTTTGAATCAGATATCGTAAGCTGCTCCTTTTTCTTTTGAGTCTCTTCTCTTCTCTTCTGCTCTCTGCCGCTATTACGTTGCTTGTTGGATAACGGGTGGGACTCGTCTCTGTCGTTTCAACACATTGAGCTCAAGCTGATCATGACCTTGCACCACAAAAGCACACAAACACACGTTTGCGACGACATCGACTTCAAGCTCTTTCTCTAAAACATAGTTTGGAAATCAAATTCACCAGTAGGTTTCCTCCTCTTCTCTTGAACCTTCACACCACGCCCTTTCACTTTCAACTCCCAACCCCTTCCCTCCTATCCAATCCAACTCTCCTCGTCTCAATCTTTCAACCTCGGCATCAAACTGACAATTACACTCCACAGACCAGCCAGACCAACCAGACAACCGCAAGAATGAGCCTCTTCACGCGCACATCAGCCCAGCCGCAGCAGGCCCTGCTTCCCCTGCACTCGCCATCGCCCACCATCTCCCAGGAAAAGCCGAAGGAGAACCAAACCGTCGTTGACATAGCGCAGATGGACCCGGGGAATAAACGCAAACGCAGTATGTTGGGTTCTATTTCACCTGTGCTCTATACCCGCCCGTGATCACTTCCGCCACTCATCACGGCACATCACGTTATATCCTCCATCTTGCCTCGTTCATTTCTCTACTTCCCTGTCTCCCATATCCCTTTCTTCCATTTCCACTTCCTCTTCCAATTGATCATTTGGATCCAGCCTACTTGCAAATAACACACAAGACTAACCACAAACTGCAAACAGGCAAGCCCTGCGAATTCCTCATCGTCATATCCGCTATCCTCGTCATCTGCGTTATAATCGCCATCATCTGCGTCGTTGTCAAAGGCCAGGAACTCAAAGACAGCAGTTCAGGCGGCGTTTACGTAAACCCCCAAGTTCACGCATGATCGATATGATGTTTAGCTAGCTGTTCTCACTCGAGCTGCTGCTCAGCTTCCTCCACTTTCACTTTTCACATGACTCTACGATACATTTCGGTACATCTTGGGAGCGGAGTTTGATTTGCCGTTCAATATGATATGGAAATGGAGGTTGATGGGAGGAAGCGAAAAGTATGGACGTGGATGCAAGACCCTGGTTTGGTACATGCATTCATGGCTTCCGTACACCGTTTTTATTCTTTCATAATCCTGCTTGCATTTGCATTTGTGTTGGAGTTTCGGGCGTATATGATCGGAGAGAGTTTGCATTGATGGACGGATGGATCAGCGAGCGAGCGAGCGAATGGCAAAATGTTTACAGAATAGATTGTATTGAGGAGCTTGCTTGATGAATGCTCTGAACTTGCTTGCTTCTAGCTAGGATAAAACGAAACAACACGAAATGAAACAATCGCAGGTTCGAAACAAAATCCAATATCCTATCCTTCTCCTCTTTCTACCTTGTTCACTTGCGAATATAAGCTTAACCTTCTATTCTCATCCTCCCCGATTTCTGCTTCCTGTATATTATGTACGTGCTATGTTCGCTACAACGCAACTACCTCCCGCTGCCCCCTTAGGACTTACTATCTCCTCGAACCTCCTTCTACCCTCACAAACCCCCCAAAAGCGGTGTATTTCAGTGGGTTTAAACTTGTGGACTATAGAAGATTTCTCAAGTGTGTGTTGGCAGTTGCCATAAAGTGAAGCTACCAAATGATAAAGAGATGCGTCTAATTCTGCGTATCCACTCTTTTTCAAGATTTGCACATACTGTTAGGTCAAATTGGATTGGGAATGTTTGATTAGATTCTGTATTGGAGGCAAAAACCCAGCTACGTAGGCTTTCTGCAAGACCGAAATTGTCCCTTCAAACTATAATTGCTTTTCATTCTTCCAGAACGGGTGGAACATCGAAATCCAAGCGCCATCACTCCTCACTCCCCAGCCTAGCCTAGCCTCACCCACAAACCTCACAGACCTTACAAACCCATCAACCTACCCCATACTCTTCCCCGGCATCCCATACCCTGCCTCAGCCGCCTACTCAAACAGAGTAAGCACGTTGAAGGTGGTTAACTCCTTTATACAACCGGCTAATATTAATTAGCTAGATAGTTAAAAGTGAGCTGATAGATTATATTACTTATAATTTACATGCTTTAGATTCCACTTCAAACCCTGCAAACTCTACTTCTAGGTTCCTTGTCGCCTCATCAAACGGGTCAGGTCTTGCCCCGTAGACGCCTACCCAGAAAGCGTCTTCCGTCTCATCCTCCATAAACCACCAAGGTACCTTCCTAACCGGTATTGGCTCCTGGCCCTCTTCCACCATATAGATCATCAGTGCGTCACCAACACGATTCGTCTCCAGATTTATAGTCGCAGATGGTTTGTTCCCTAAGATACCAGCATGTGCACCGAGCGCTGAGGCTGGAAGTTCAAAGAGACTCCAATCACTCCATCTATCCCGCACAACAATACTGCCCCACGCCTTGCCCTCCCAGACCTCGATACCAGCTTTGACCCATTTCGGATGCACGCCGGTTTTTATTCCTGAATGGCTGCCAGGGTGAGCGCGAGAGGGTTTAGGGAGGGAGGGAGTTGGAAGGACGAAGATAAGGCCTGCTTGGTCGTATTGTATAGTAGGATTTGATCCACTCTCTGAATTTGGACTTGGGAGCTGAAAAGGAACACTGATCGTAGCACGTGATGATTTGAAGGAATCTGTTGCGATTTTTGTATAAATGACTGGCGCAGAGAAATGGTAGCCTAAAACTGGAGAGACGAATACGTCTGTTTTTGGTGGTATGGAAAGTGTAAATGGTTTTTGGGTGTCGATGATTGGAGCTTGTTCGGAGACGGTATTTACAGTCTCGAGGAGCATATTGAATTGGCAAAGTACTAGGTACTATAGGAGATCGAGGGTTAACGGATCAAGTAGAAAGATACAAGAGAAAGCAACCAGTGAACTATCTTCTCTTCGGCGACGTTCTTACGAGGTACGGCCCCTCCCCCACTATAGATGCCGATATCAACTCGGCCCCGAGAACATTCTGAAGCCAGCGTCTTTCCTGTATATCAGACTTGAGACCCACTAGAAAGGCAGCTATAGATTCTTATCGTGCGCCGATATCCGTCACTTATTTGGTCTTGGTATTTCGGTCTCAAGAACCAATTACGGCGCTTTGTCAAAAATGCCAGCCCCCGAAAATCCTCGCCAAAATACCCCCGATCTCAATGTAGATTATACCGCACTCATATGTAAAAGTGTATAATTTCGAACCGCAATTGATATTCTATCGATATTATTGCAAGGCATCTAATCTCATAGCAGACTCAAAGAGTTTTTACGTAGCAGACATGGTGGACATCCAGAACATTGACTTCATAGCAATGCTCAATTTGCCAGTAGCATATATTCTGCTGCCAGCGGTGTTGATTCTGGTAGGGTTTTTCGCAAAGGGAAACATATGGCCAACTGTATGGGCTGGCGGAAAGCCTGTATCTCCACCCACTAAGGGGAAAGTGATGACATTCAAAGAGTACCAGTCTGGGCAATCAATGGGAGATGTTATTCCTCTCAGAGACTTCGACTGGAAGACTGAAGAGCCGCGAAAGATTTACAAATTCAGTCCTAAGTATTTCTTGACAATGGGTACGGCTATACCCAACCAACCTTAGATTAGATATACTAAATCTCAAGCAGGACTACAAAACACCAACATCAATTTCATCACTCACGTGGACCGTCAGTATCAAGAACGTTGCAAGGCTCGCCATGAGATCTTGCGCACACATCCGAATGCCCTCGCATGTAGACCCGGAGCCGAAGCCATGGTTGACGAACTCTACGCATATCTGGTAAACGATTACCTGCCACACCGGTATCCTACAATCTTCCAGTTTAAATCACAAAATGGAGCGCCGAATCATCTCCTAAATAACGTCACCACAGACGTTTTACCTTTGACGCCCCCACAAGATAGGATCGAGGCACTTCGTCTCCTAGCTGTTAATGTCGATGAGGACTTTTTGATGCTTCTGCCCTCATCAGACGGTGACGGATATTCATTGGAAAGTGTGATTTGGTGTTACCCCGTCGGATTTGATGCTGGTGACAAAGTTGGTCTGAAGTTAAGAGACGCACACAAACCTGTTCCTGCATACAAAGAGGTTATGCAAAGTAGTATGGATCGATATTTTGGAAAGTTGGCTGTTGGCAAGGTTATTTATCGCGTGAATGTAAGCGGACTCGAGTATTTCTCTAGCGTAAACATGTGCTGACGACTTTGTAGTGGGCTGTTGCTACCAATGACAATCTCTGCGAAGATGGCGAGTATCATTTATATGAAGGACAAGAAGCTTCTGATACTGAAGTCGATATTTCAAACTGCTTTGTGCGGTGCGAGCTGCAGACCCTTTTCGCCCTCCCCAAATCCGGAGGCAGAATTTTAAGCGTGCATTTGTACCTGTATCCCTTACAGCAGATCAAGGATGATGGATTGCAAGAGCAAATGATTGAGGCGATTGATGGCTTAAAGCAAGGAAATGCGCCAGGATTTTGGAGATATAAGAGGGCCCCTGTATGGCATGATAAAGTCAAGGAGTTTCTGAGAAGCTAAGATGGCTAGTAGAAGATAGATAAGCTTATATAACTATCGGGGAAAAGAATACAGATTCGAGGGACTAGGTAGGCGAGATTATATAGAAAGTTATCCAATTCTCAGGGTTATTTATCTTGCTCTTTTACTTTACGCTTTTAATCAGAGATCTGTTCAATAAATACTGCTTAATATAACTCATATATTAGCATATAGCTCTACCATAAGGTACTACGATTGTTTCAAGTAGCTAAGTAACTATGATGGAAAATTTAGGGACGGGTATTTTAATATTAAACAAATAAATTAGACGTAAAACGTTTCTTCATTTACAACGCAACGAGATCCTTGTGACGTTGCAAAAATCGCCCAACACACTCGATGAATCTATCCATCTCACTATCTGGAGTAGGCAACATAAGAGCAATGCTTCCTCTCCGAGTAATCCAGAAACTATCTTCCATCATCTCCAAAAAGAACAGATCCTTTAGACCCCAATCCTCCGAAATATCATCACTACAAGCAATCTCTGTCTTCCCACCCTCAGAGAAATGCACGGCATTCAATGCACCCTGTCCCGTAACACTCATCTTCGTTCCTGCTATCGCAGCCTGCAGCTTCGCACGGAACGCGTCGCCTCTCTTATTAAACTCTACGGCAACAGATGACGTCCAGATCTCCGAAAGACCAACGTGCCCGGCGTACATAGCGAGAGTATTATTATTGAATGTACCAGAGTGTGCAAGAGAGTTTGCAGATCGAGGATCATAGACCGCCATGATATCAGTACGGCCGCCAAACGCCCCAAAGGCTAGACCGCCGCCGAGATACTTTCCGAGCGTGGTAATGTCCGGATTTAGTCCAACGATTGCTTGAAGCCCGCCAGGTCCAAGACGAGACGTCATGACTTCATCTAAGATGAATATTGCTCCAACCTGCCAAATGTTAGCTCCCTACTTGATCCCAAACCCTATACAATGAATGGTATACCTTTTTCGCGCTCGTCTGCAACTGAAGAAGGAACTCGTTTGTGCCAGAAATACATCCACCAGCTCCTTGCATGCCTTCTACTAAAACTGCCGCAATATCATCCTGCTCGATCAGGCGTTTTGCCCCTTCAATATCATTATACTTCCCAATAACCCATTCTGCCTTATCGACACCGTTCTCTTGGACGCCATCCCAGAAACCAAGCACAGCGCCGTGATAGGCACCATAGAACACAACCACTTTCCTCCTGCCTGTAAATCGTCTTGCGCCTGCAAGGGCATGCAGATTAGCCTCAGTCCCTGAATTGCAGAACCTGATCTTGCTGAGATTGAAACGCTCGCATATGAGTTTGGCGTGTACATTCTCTTGCTGAATGGTGGCGCCGAGGTTGAGTCCGATAGATTGCATAGTGTTGATAAGGGACTTTTGAATAAGTGGGTGGGAATGCCCGTACAGTGCTGCTGTGAGTTCGCCAACGAAATCCGTATATCTTAAAATATCATTAGGCTTTGTTATTCATTTCGTTTGTTCGGAATAATACTTACACGTGGCCATCCTCATCAAAAACTTGGTAAGCCTCCCCTTTCTTCATGCAAACCGGGAACGGAGCCGTATATAATAGAGTTCGAGTATTGCCTCCCGGAAGATGATCGCATGCTCCTTCAAAAATCTCTTTGGAGTTTGGGTTTCTCTTGGAGAATCGTTCTTTGGCAGCTGCAAGGGCTGTACTCAGGGCGTCTGATGTCTTCTGTAGCGACTTCACTTGCAGTCCTACCTCTGCCATAGCAACAGGCTGCGAGACTGGGGAGTCGGCCTTGGGCATCTTGAACGTAGTGTTGATGAGACAGAATTCAAACTAGCAGAAAAATCAATCAGCTGGTCCCTGAAAGACGAACAGGTCAAAATCTAGGTCACAGATTATATGGGTCGATTATCAGCATCTATCATAGGTTTGTATGTAGCTTTGAATAACCTTGACAGCCGGTTTACGGTGGGGGTGGTGACTAGAGGTCGGCTCCTGACACCGAGGGCTGTCAGCGACCGAGCAAGCGTAATGCTCGGCGCCGTCGGTGGGTATATCTCAACAAGATGTACGATTAGAACGCTAAATTAACTTATCTCTAGTTTCGTGGATATGCCGACGTGGATATCAGATTGAGAGGTAATCGCGTTCCCTCGGAGGAAGTGGGGGGAATAGTTGGACCACCACCACCCCACAAGGCCAGGGGGACACGATATAGGACCACCTATTTCTAGTAACAGCTACCTACCAACCAGGACTTTATAGGGCTTGACTCTGTTGTTCTGAAACAATTTCAAGGCCGGTATATTGTCGAGGACTCTGAAGATGAGTATTAATCCACTCTAGGTATATGATGGAGAGTGTTAGTATTCATAACCCTCCGCCGCTAGCACGTGCCATCTTGAGGTCTCATACAAGCCGAGTTCCCAAGAATCCTACCCTTGTATTTATAAACCCTCGGCGGCATGAGTAATGGTAATTGATGTGTTGCTACTGGAAGTGGGCAATGGCGAGATCTAACCGCCGAGATGGAAGTCCAAAATGGTAGGCCTAGAACATAGTAGCCTTTTCTGGCGTACATTGCACCGTATCTTTCGTTGATAATAGCTGATGTGAGAAATTTAGCTTGGTTAGTTGGTATTCAATATTGTGGCTTTTAAGGTTGAAATGGGGATAAAGCAGTGGATGAAAAGAAAAAAGTAAGTTCGGCCAAGAATAAGATCAGAAGACATGAGTTAACAAATGCCCAACCTTCTTGAAATCTCGGTGTTAATGTTTACGGAATTGTAGTTCTCAGCGCTATTGGTTCATGAGATACGAATTTCAGAAAGATTTTACATGCAATCAAATATAGTAGTAATTTGTTTTGGGCAAGTTCCTTTTTCTTTCTGACAACACAGTTAAAGAAGTCACTTGAAGAATTTAGGAATCTTGAAAATTGATATGAGTTTTCTTTATAAGCTTAAATTGTAGAAGTAAGTATATTGGTTTCTAATAAAAGAGCCCTTCGTACCCCTCGTCTGGTTTATCAAAATACCAGGTGAGATCCTTTCCTGCGGCTTCTCTGGTCGAGAATCCATTGCCTAAATATGCAAAGATGTTACTATTGCGAGAAGTCCATTCCCAATCCTCCCACCTCGGATTTGTCATCATTTGGAACCAATGGATCCTACTTCCAGGATGTAGTGCTGTGATGGGACCATCAACTGTGCCATTCTTGAACCACGATCTGCAGTGAGTGCTCCAGGCGGTTCTTTTCAAGAATTCGTCAGAGTGCGCCGTAAAATCCTTGATTGCTCTTATTTTGGGCACGAAAGATTTAACGTTTTCGGTTTGCGCTTTGTAGAGGAACTTTAGGATATATTTGCTGGTGTGCTCAATAATAGGCATAGCGGAGCCATGCCCGACCGGCGAATTGGGACCCATAAACACTGGATTTGTTAGATAGGAGAAAGAGAGTAGGGTGTGTATATGGTTCACTTACTGAAGTAATTTGGCATGTTTGCCGGGGTGACAGACAAATATCCCGTGGCTCTTGTCTTCCACTGATCAGCCAGATTGGTAGCATTTTGGCCTATTATAGGAAAGCGGGGACAATAGCTGAGATCGAAACCTGTGGCGCAAATGAAGATATCGACCTTGATGATCTCACCAGTGACCAAGACGATCCCTGCTGGGATAATCTTTGCAATCTCATCCTGAACAACTCTAACATTATCCTTTGTTAACGACTCAAGGTACCCATTTCCAGGAGTGGGCCTTCGACACGCAACAGCAAAATCGGGAATGATCTTCTCTGCTATTGCAGCACCTTTGGCGCCCAATCTTGACTTCATGTCTTTCGTACTGAATCTGACAGCTTCAGCTTGTTCCGGGCTGTCTTTGAGGATTAATTTGAATCTGCCGTTGAGCTCGCTCTCGATTGCCTTTCTGTAAGCGTGGTACATTTCTGGATGATCGACAAATTCGGTTTTTCTCTCTTCCGTAAAATCGAAATTGGTCCCTCCAGGCCCCGAGTACTTTTGAGCAAAACCCGCCGTGATCCAAGTTGGTTGTCGGATGAATGTGGTCAAGTGTTCCACCTCGGGTTGGATATTCGGCACAACTTGGATGCCAGATGAGCCACATCCAAGCACTGCGACCTTCTTTCCTTTGAGTTTAACATCCGAGTTCCATGCTGCACTGTGCATCAACTCTCCCTTGAAGGTATGGAGGCCGGGTATGTCTGGATATTTCCAATTGTTCAGATAACCAGAGCTGTTAATAAAGAAGTCGCACCAATCGTCAAACTCAAGCCCACTTGACAAATTTCGAATGCGCATATCCCAGCGACCTTTTTCTTCGTTCCACGTTGCCCCCATGATCTGATGCTTGAATTTGATGTATTTCCGTAGGCCATGCTCCTCAGCAGTATCTTGGAAGTACTTCAGGATTTCAGGTGCTGGCGAATAGAATTTATCCCACTTTGGATTCGGTGCCCAAGAGTATTGGTAGCAATGGGACGGAATGTCACAAGCGCATCCTGGATATGTGTTTTCCAGCCAAGTTCCGCCCAAGTCGTGATTTTTCTCGTATAAAACAAGGTCCACATGTTCCATATGCACATCAATCGACCGTGCAATGTTCAGAGCAGATGCCCCTGAGCCTGTTGCTATGACACGAAGCTGTCGCGGTTGACCAAGTGGGTGTTCATCGACGACATATTTGTTTGTTGGTATAGAGTTGTGCATTGGGATGTGGCCATCTTCGCGTCCAAGTCCTTCAATCACCATCTTTTCGAATGTAGCTGTGAAATATACCTGAAAGAACCCCGCGTAGATTGTAACAAGTTGTTTCAATCGCACGCTCAGCCGGACTATGTACTTGAATGTTGCTGCTTTCAATTCGCAAACTCCGTGGGGCGAAAAAGTAATTCAGGCCCCATTTTCTCTACAGTGAGGGGCTATAAACATAATTGAGCCATATGCTGTATCTAAATATTATTTCTGCCTATATGATTGGTCGAATTAGGTATGTCATCTACAAATCGTATCATTTAAGCCCCAAAAGGGAATTAAAATACTTTTCGGCCGCGCGGAGTAAAGGTACACCAGACCGAATTCTGGGGCGTGCTATCTTCTCGGCTCGGCGCCGAAGCAACACTACCGTCGCCGCCACAAAAACAGCGATAAGCTGATTGATTTCAAACTCCGTAATCATTAAGGTAATCTCGGTGTGGTATCTCGGCGTTGGCATTGCAAGCTTTACCTCTTTGCTCTATATTCCCGGATACTTATCATCAGGCTGCTGCTAGCAATGGGCCATAGTCCAGCCGCAACTTTTATCAATAGACAGCTAAGTATTATCTCCAGAACACATACCTCCAGTTATCTCTGGTACTAGGCTGTATATTTCTATAAAGTCGAGCTATCTTCGCCAGTATCTACTCATTAACATATCATCTCTTATGCAAAGAAGACGTGCGAATAAGCACTTCAAACAGGAACTGTGTGAATAAAACGACCCACGATGGGTTCCGAAAAGAACCTAGCCATGATGGACCCCGAGAAGCATATAGCGACTGCATCTAATCCTTCATTGGAATCTGAAGTCGGAGAAGTGACTGCTGTGGAGCAAAATGCACAAGATCATGCACCCCACCAATTGCAGAGGAATTTCAAGGCGAGGCATGTGCAAATGATTGGATTGGCAGGATGTATTGGTAGTGGTGTTTTCATCAGCACTGGAGAGGTACACAACCTAGACATATTTATCATCCATTGAAATGCAACTAACATGTTTTACAGGCACTACAGACAGGCGGTGCCCTTGGTTTGCTCATCGCCTACCCTCTGATCTGTTCCATGGCGCTATCCATGCTTACAGTGCTTTCAGAGGCAACCTGCCTCTTCCCAACCACTGGATCTTTCATCGATCATGCAAGCCGATTCGTTGACCCTGCATTGGGCTTTGCTATTGGCTTCTGTGAGTGGTTCGGCGCCATTACTGTTGTTGCAGCAGAGGGATCTGTATTTCCGGTCGTCATCTCGTACTGGACTACATCTGTCTCTGATGCAGGCCTGATGACTATTTACCTAGTAGTGGTTTTCGCATTCCATGTGATGCCTAATCGCTGGTTTGCCGAATTTGAATTTTACTCTGGCATTGTGAAATTGACCTTGATGGTTGTGGTCATGCTCACAATGGTTGCTATCTGTGCCGGTGCTGGTAATGGAGATGAATATATCGGTCAGAACTACAATACCCTCAAGATTTTCCCTAACGGCTTCAAGGTATGAAATTTTATGTGTGTCTAATCGGAACTTTACTAACAGACTCAGGGCATTGCTCGTTGCTTCCTTCTTGCCTCCTGGGCAACCGGAGGCCAGGAGATCATGGGAGTTGTTGCTGGTGAAGCTGCTTTCCCTCGTTGGGACCTTCCTCGCGCTCGTGTCAATCTGTTTATCCGTATCCTGGTTATTTACCTCAGTGCGGCCGTATTCATTTCTGTTCTCATCCCATACACGGAGCCACTGCTCCTCAGTACAAGCAATCTTGCCTCTTCACCCTTCGTCATCGCAATGAACTACGCTGGCATCCGAGTTCTCCCTGACATTGTCAACGTCGTACTCCTCATATGCCTTTGCGGTATCGGGTCAGAGGAACTCTTTGTAGCTTCACGAGTCCAGGTTGCGATGGCAGACATGGGTATGATGCCAGCTGTCTTCAAGAAGATTGATAGCAAGGGGCGACCATGGGCCTCCCTGCTCTGTTGTTCCATGATTGCTATTGCTTTCACATATATGTGTCTTAGCACCACTGGCGCCATCGCATTCAACTGGTTCTCTTCTATTAGTGCCACAACCACTTTCTTTGCATGGATGATCATCCCGGTTACCAATTGGTGCATGCATCGCGCTCTGCGTGCACAAGGAGACACTGCATGGTCAGAGCCATATGCTTACAAGAGTTGGCTCTGGCCCGCGATCCCGATCTACCTGTTTGTTACCACGGTCTTCACCTTCGTTTGCACTTTCTGGGTCGCTGTCGACCCGATAGGGGGCTCAGACTCCAGTGGTCTCGCCGCGGATTTCTTCGAAATCATGTTATGCTTCCCACTATTTGTTTTGGCATACATTGCATACAAACTGTTTTACAGGACGAATTTTCAGAACCCAAAAACGGCCGATTTGGTTACGGGCAGACGGCGTTTGACAAAGGAGAACATTGAATTTTTGAATAATTATGGTGCTTCACCCTGGTATAGTAAGGTCCTTAGCTATGTACGTTTTGGTTAGATGGATGTTCTCGACTGTTATACATTTATGGGTTAGAATAAATAGTCGTAATATGAAAGTATTCAAGCAACTTTGATCTAGGCAATACGTAAACAGATAGCTAGTACTAGTGAAGTAAATTTAGAAACAGTCGATACTTCTACCGCAAATTGAATACATATCTTGATAATAAATACATATGGCTGAGGTAAGTTATATTAAAGAAGCTGTACCCTAAGCGGAACTAGAATACGATTCATTGCGGAGGGGTAGAGACAAGCAAAAAGCAGGACACGGAGTCCTCCATCAAAAATGATGCAAGTTAAGTGAGTGCTAAAAATCAGCCAGCTTTTGCTCCCACCATCTTGGAATCCCCACGAGAACCATTCTGTTCCTTCTAGAAGCACCGCCGTCAAATCAAGTATCGCGTAGGAGTACTTGAATTCAAAATCCGACTCACCGAGCCAAGGCTCATGGTGGGACTTATCTCGTCCTATATAAAACTCTAAGGACGTTGACTTCAAGTCGGACTCCACTAAGACACGCCTATGACCATTTGATAAGTCTATAATTGGAATCTAATACAACTAGTATGTACATCTAAATAAAATAAGCACCGCTATCTAACACGTCTATCATGATTCGATCTTCGGGGTTTAACAGCGACTGGTGCAGTTGAACGGGAAGTGGAGCGAGAACTCGAACGGACGGTCGAACGAGACGTCGAATAGTCAGTCGACTGGGAATAGTCATCATCGAGATACCTTCTTGAAAGGTCCGGCGAACGGGAATAGCTGTCCTTGATATATCGCCTTGAATGGTCCGGAGAACGGGAATGGCTATCTTCCAGATATCTTCTTGAATGACCGGACGAACGGGAGTGATTATCATCAAGATATCGTCTCGACTTTGGATGTATAGATGAAGATTTCGTAGCAGAGCTTTTGCCTAGAATGGCACTTGATAATGCGCCGAGGCCCAACGGGAGTTTCCCTGAAAATCATTAGCAGATAAATAGAATGTGGCATGAGGTTCATACCTAATCCCGAATCGGTAGACCACGAAACACTTGGTAAATGTTTTGTTGTATTTACGATCAAACTCGCATTCGCCCGTGTCTTATTAACGTGGAACTTCACGTCGAATCGTTCTTGATCTGCAATCTTCGGGCCTTTGCCAGCCATCTTTGCGATTGTGGACGGATATATTCCACCAATATTATAGCTGCCCCCAGTATGATCCCCTGTATAGATTTTGAATACCGGTATTTTGATCCCATCCGTGTACTTCATCTCGGCCGTGAAGTAGAGGCGCGACATTGCGAATAGAGCGCGGTGTAATATGGTTGAAAAACTAGAAAAACCAAGGACCTGAAATAAAATATTGGGATAAATTGTATGCGCACATGGAACTTGAGGAAGGGACATTATAAAAGGTGTTGGTGGTTGGTGGCGCAGTAGGTGTTGTAGGAGCTATTTCGAGTTTCAGAATGCGCCATTAACATTAACTGCGGTGATTCCAATTCCCACCGGCGACATGGTTAGCGACGAAGAATCCGGGGGTATGACGTGAAATTGAAGTCGTAATTGGTCCAAATTTGAAGTTGCAACATATCATTCGTAACCAAGGCTGAAAGTGCATCGCGGATGTTGGTTTGGTGTCGGAAATGTAGAATTGAGCCATCTATTAAACACTTTCAAACATAATAAGAAATTGACCTTTTCGACCATTCATTTCAGCTCTCCCTGTATTGATGTCCAGTAAACTTTATTTTGCGTTTGCCTCCCTTTGCCCACGCTTTTGATATCAAAAACACGATCCTTCAGGATTCTCATCAATCCTGCACCGGCAATACCCAATCGCGTCGCCCATCTCACTTTCTTTGAAACAACATACATCGCCATCTTGATCTACATGTGCTACATTCGGTGGGCATGAGAAGTCTTGTAAATTGCAATCGGTTGTCGTGCAGCATGTTCCCTTAGGCCAGAGAAGAAGGGTATTGTTTTCTGGTGAGCCAAGTCGGACTGCCTCGACAACCGCGACGGTACACAATGTATCTGATAAAGGGCCCGGGTCTGGCATTCGGGTATGTAGTGGGGACCTACTTGAAGTGGGCGCCATCAAGCACGGTAATACCAACGCGAGGATGATTATTTGTTTGAAGAGTGAAGCCATGATTACAGGTCTAATATAAGGTATTGGATTGGATTACGACTTGGAATATGTTGAAAACAGGGTGTCAAAAGAGCAAGCGATTTCAAAGTTATATAGCAATGACAACCGCAACGAGCTACTCCATGTATGACGTTGAGCTCAGAATAAAACAGTCTAAGTAGTCGCTAAGTAGGTCCAGAATCAGCTCAATGAAGCAGCGGGGTACCCTAACTTTAGCAACTTATCTGTCAAGGGAATAGGCATAAGGTTACCCGGACAATCATGTTACGAATGATTAATTGGCCATGGTTCTCGAAATAAGGAAGAAAAAGACCTGAGATAACATATCTGCTCTCATTTTGAGCAGGAGTCGTTGAATTTTGAAGTGCAGATCGTTGACTGTATCGGCCGCTATTTATCTAATGAAGACATGAAGGAAGTATGATTTAGAAGGAAAAGGGGTAACGTGAATGGGTAAGGTGCCAATAGCACACGATAGCCGCTAGTCAAAGAAGTAAGGGAAGTAAGGGGAAGTAGGTGAACAGGGGTGACATTTCAAGGAAACGCGGGGTATAGGAAACTTGAACAGACAAAAAGATAAACTTGGCTTGAAATTCAACAAGATACAACACGGGCTTAGCACTTGGCAGTTTTGGTATTTTGAATTCGCCTCAGGGACCACTTCAAAATCCCGAGCCTAATCTCTTAGCTCGGGATAACACCAGATTGAGATAATCAAGCGCATGGCACCAGGAAAGATCGTGGCCTTCTGGAAAGCCCTTATGCTACTGCAATGGAGCATAAATTGGTATTTTTCATCATCTGAATGTAGATCCAGCGCTTATCGCCCGTTCTTTCTTGACCTTTTTAGGCCAATTCCTCGCAATGTCGATGGCATCTCTTGGCGCCCAAATCTCCAAAAACAGAAACAGCAGATAGTCAATGACTACACACAGGCAAAACAACTTGCCAGCCCAGATCCCACAACCATAATACCTCTTCAGCCTATCGATGAGAGCAAAACTCTGAACACCGGCCCTTCCTCTCGTAGCACTCCAACTGGCAGCATCAGCTGCTTCGTAGCCATAGAAGTCCGCCTCGCTCAAGACCCCAGATATGCCGTCATAAACTCTCTCTGTGCGTCTGGCAACATCCGTCCAGGAATACCACTTTTTGACCTGGTCATGGAAGTCTTCAGTCCGAACCTTGTTCGCTCGCAGAGCGGCAATGGCACGACCAGTAGCAGCAACTAGGTCATCTTCTTCCGGCTTGGCAAACACTGTCATGTGGGCAGGGAGAACCTCTGGGATACCGCCAACTTGAGTGCAAACAACATACAGGCCACAGCTTGCAGCTTCAACTATGACTGTGCCAAAAGCTTCCGTCAGACTCGGGTGTAGATAAATGTGACCACGGACCATGACATCTCGGACCTCCTCATGTCTAACCGGACCAAGCATTTCAACTCGGTCCTGCAGCACGTTCTTCTCAAGCATTTGCTCTAAATCGATGGCCTTTGGGCCCGAGCCGGCAATTATAAATCGAACATTGGGGTGATTTGCCAAGATTCGAGGGATAGCAGCCACCAACAAATCAGTGCCCTTGTTGTAGAACAGCCGGGATATGACTACAATGGTGATGGTATCGTGGTGACCGAGATGTTGAGGCAGAGGAACGACATTGGTGCCAAATTCGGAGAGATTGGGATAGGATGGATGGAACAGAGGGCGAAAGTTCTCAGCAACGACAGCATTGGGTATGACAGATACCATAAGGGGATCTAGAGAAGCACGAAGGACGGTGTTTTCCTTGCTGGCGGGACAGTCAGTCAAGCAGATGGGGTGGGGACGGAATTCGTCTGCATACCATGTATGGCTGACACAGATTACATGGTCGACATCACTCAGCGTAAACTTCAACAGCTTGTTTGTTAGAATGCTAGCAGCATCCGCAAAACCGAACAGGGAATGATCTGTGAAGACAGTTCTTAATCCCATGGTCCGCGCATGTAATATAGCTTCATGGCAGAGACTGCTCAGACTCGCGTGGCCATGCACAATCTCAATCTCCTCGCGTATAACGATATTTCGGAAAATGGGGAAGAAGGAGAAGACGGTTGGAAAGCTGGCGGAGCGGTACATGACCAGAAAAGGGACATGGTAGACCTTGAGGCCATTCGTGAGGTACCGTACGCCGGTTCGTCCTTCGTAGGCGTGGGTAATGACTATAACTTTGTGTCCCCGGTCGATTAGTTTGGTCGACAGCTGGTAGATGTGGCTCTCGACGCCGCCGGGTTGAGGGAAGAAGAAGTCGCTGACCATAGCAATGTTGTATGGCATTTTGATCGCGGTCGCCCAGCTGGCCGGCGCGGAGTGATTCGTGTTATAACCGCGGTTTCATAGCTCTTGCGGCATCAGACGAGATGCGCAGACTACGCTTGGATTTCACAGGATTGGATTGGATTGGACTGGAATGTAACAGGCGGTGATGTATGTTTACATCTACAATAAGAGCCGGAATAGGGGGGGTGAGCTCGGCTTGTAATGAGATGCGACGCGCACGGCCGAACTCCGGGGAAACAAGGCTGCGCTAAGTGCAAGGCGAGGTGCAAAATCTAATGTGTCGTGCATTGAAAATCTCCCTCCTACTCTCTCACTCTGGTGCATTCTAAATCCTCCTTCCACGCAATTATGACTTCGCAGCTCTACTCTCGATATATTCCACCCGTCAAAAAGAGTACAGATTCGGATACCACCCTCCAGCCTATAAATCCGACCCCGGCTCCGCCTATTGTGCAAATTGACCCCTCCTCCACATATGCACGATATATTCCTCCCCCAAAACCTAAATCGAGCCACCCTTCCGAATTAGACGGGGAAAGAAATCCCAAAAGGCTCAAGAAAAGCAATGAGGATACAAGCAGCAGCATACAAAAAGAGAATGTTCTCTCTGTTCCAAGTCAGGAGCCCAGGCCAAAAAAGTCGACGCCCAGGAAAGAGAAACAAGCAGAGAAGGCCGGAGGAGATATAAGGCATGTCAGTACGCAAAATCTGCCGGTTGTCGAGGATGCCCGACACGAAAAACTCATGAAGAAGCGTGATAAATCCCTCCGAAAAGCAGAGAAATTATCAGAGAAATCGGTAGAGCCAACAAACACCCAACCAGTAGAAGATGTCCCAGAGCCCACGGAGCCCCACGACCTAGTACCTCTACCACAGCCCGAGCCTGTTCCCGAATTGCCTTTACAATCCACTACATCTTCCCTACCTTCCTGGCTAGCATCGCCAATACGAGTATCGCAGAGTGCAACAGCACAATTTAAAGATGTCGGAATGCAGGAATCTACAGCAACTGCGTTGTCTTCGAAAGGGTTCAAAGAAGCCTTCGCGGTCCAAGCAGCTGTCTTGCCACTGCTCCTCCCAGGTCCATCTCAGCAGCCCGGCGACATTCTTGTATCAGCTGCAACCGGGTCCGGGAAGACTCTCGCCTATGTTTTACCTATGATTGAGGCATTGAGTCGGCATAGGGTTACAAAACTACGTGGTGTTATTGTCGTGCCTACAAGAGAGCTTGTTACACAATTGAAAGATGTATCAGACACCTGTGCTTCTGCGTTTTCATCTGAACGAGATAGGAGGCGTGTGAAGATTGGAACTGCAATTGGGAGCGGCAACTTCAGGAGCGAACAATCTGCTTTGATGGATCAGCATTTAACATACGACCCGAAAAAATACCAAGCTCTCATATCACGCCTCAATTCAAAATGGCAGGCTGACAGTGATGCGGATTATGAGTATCTCTTTGGGGAAGAAGAGTCTGCTCCCGCCCTTCCGGACCACGTTAGCGAATCATCTTTAAAGATTGACGTACTCATTTGCACACCCGGCAGGCTCGTCGAGCATCTCAAATCAACACCTGGCTTCTCTCTGCAAGATTTAACGTGGCTCATCGTCGATGAAGCTGACAAGTTGCTGGATCAAAGCTTCCAGCAATGGCTGGATGTCGTGATTGGGCAATTGCCACAACCGAGCGCATTCGGACGACGAGAACACATTCGAAAAATCATTCTCAGTGCGACTATGACTAAAGAAGTTGGACAACTCAATAGTTTCAAGCTTTATCGTCCAAAGCTTGTAGTACTGGAGGGCTCGGCCTCTACAGAGGCCTATGAAGGTGGACATGTTCTTCCCTCACTTCTAACTGAATCTGCAATCAAAGTTGAGGACGAGGGTATCAAACCGCTGTACTTGCTTGAAATTTTGAAGCGCCAAAGTCTAGTGGTACCCGCCAAGAGTCACTCGACATCGCCCACAGATTCCTCTGAATCTGAATCGGATACATCAGATGACGAGGCACCCACTCTCCAGAAACTCTCTATGTTACCAGAGCCGGTGGACGGAAATGCCCCCACCGAGTTTGAGACTACGGCAACTCCACGGGGTGTTTTGATTTTTACCAAGTCGAATGAGAGCGCTTTACGTCTAGGTCGCCTAATCGCTATTTTGGAACCAGATTCTTCTGCCCTTGTGGCAACTCTCACCTCGACAACACGAAATTCTACAAGAAGGGCTGCCTTGAGATCTTTTCAATCTGGGAAACTGTCAATTCTTGTCGCCTCGGATCTTGTATCTCGTGGTCTGGACCTTCCCAACTTGGCACATGTTATCAATTATGATGTCCCTGGCAGCATTACTAGCTATGTGCATCGTGTTGGAAGAACAGCCAGAGCAGGAAAGCCTGGTCATGCGTGGACACTGTTTACTGGAAGTGAAGGAAGGTGGTTTTGGAATGAGATCGGTCGCTCAACCGCGATCGAGAGACTCGCAGAGTCAAAAGTCGAGAGAGTCAATATCAAAGCGTCCCTCTTCGATGGCGAGAAATTGAGATACGAGGCTGCTTTAGAGAAACTGGGAGAAGAAGCAGGCGGTTCAAAGTCTTGATAGAAGTAGCAGCGTCAGTGATACCCAAATGTATTGATTACTTGCCAGTGTTGGTTACTTTGTCCTCAAACAATATTCTAGGCCATAGTCGAAAGATTATCATAGTGCCTTTCAAAACACAAGGATTGCCTCGAATTGATATTCGTTAAAGGCGAGGAGGGCTTTGAAATTCTTGATTTCTGAAGTAACCAATAACTTTTATCAGTCCTTGCTCTAGCTTCGGTGCATCTAACAATATACCCTCAGTCCATGTCTAACTCTTAGCATTCGTTCCTTCCGGGTACCAAATCATAATTCCACCTCCCTCCCTGTCGTCCGTAGGAACTCGGTGGCTGAAAGTTCCCAGTAGCTCAAAACCAACCTTACGATACAAATATTCGCCTTCAACACTTGCGGTCAATCCCATAATCACCCGCTCATTCTGTGCACGTTTCAACCCCTCGAGCATAATCTTCTTCCCGATTCCCTTTCCTTGAAATTGCGGACTGACAACAATACTGTTTGCATGCCATCTACTGCTTCTCTCGGGGTGCGATTTCCAGTAAATTTCGTTATCATCACCTACCCAGGACTCGAATTCTTTCATTCTTGCTTTGTGAGTAATCCTGTCTGACCAGATGATGTTCTCGATGATGTGGTAAAAATAGAAGAACCAAGAGAGAATGTAAATCCAAAGCCTTTCCCGTATGCCTCTGTCTCTTATAAATTGCTTCGCGCCATAGTCGTCTCCAAGACGACGGAATTGCCCAAATCCTACTATCATCGAAGGGTCGGCTGCAAGGCAAGCAACGATGGAAAGGCTTCTTATATCCAGAAATCTGCGCCTACAACCTTGCCGATGCTGCTGCGCGTTGTCTTCTCGATACATATACGCTTTTGGAGTCAGATATGCGGTGACCGGGTTGGGAGCGTACGCATCCATGCAGAGGTTCCCCATAATTGGAATGTCTGAAAGACGAGCAGAACGCAACAGAATCTCGTCTGACGCCGCAGGCTTGGATGGAGATGCGTCTCCAAGGACCGGCGCTTCAAGTGGAGCTGACACAGCGGACGAAGTCATCTTTACTCGTGAAAATAGGGGGGATTTTAAGCGAGATGTAACGAAACGAAAAAGCGACGAGCAATAAATGACAGCTGCTAGTCCACAGCTTTTCTCCGCGAGGTTGACTGTATTTGTATACGTTGGGTTTTAAAGCCGCTAGCACAAGACAAGCAGGTGACTTTGCCTCTCCATAATGACTCTTCGATGAGTCATACCAGGAATGGGGGTGGGGCTGAAAAGGGGCTCGGTTGTAATCTTACCTAAGGGTCACGTGTGCATCTTTACTCACTTTGTCCAGCAGTCTCATCCAAAACTCGAGGATCTACGAAAGCATACATGCACTCAGATGGAAGAATCCAGTTGAAGAGATTTTGGCAATAATTTCAACTTGGTCTTATGTATATCAGAATCAGCACGCCCAGTGACAATCCATCTGCCGATTCTATCTTGAGGTTAGCATGGTCTTCTAGTTTTTATAAAATGATCCAATAAAGGATATTAGACTTACTGAGGCGTTTTCATCAGCTCCTAGCGATACTACACTATTGAACCAATCCCAAAAATTGCCATTATCCCAATCTCCTACAGAGCAATAGGGGAGCTGCGTCGAATCAGTATCCTTATCACTCCATTGTGTATCTCCTGCTACCAAGGTAACCACCCAGGCTTCCCAGTTCACTGGTGCTACAGGTATAGGGCCAACTAGTCTATTTTTAAGCATTCTGCTAGGAACTTTGGTCGACCGTACGAAGTCGACAGTAACGTCATAAGGGAGCTTAGAGTCGGCAGCAGCAACCGATGGGCTATCTCCCCATTTTGCTTTATAGTTCTGACTGGTAAGTAGGTTGTTGCCATTATCAGTGATATTAAGTTGTACGTATAACGGGTCTGTGTTGCTGAGAGATGCTTCAAAAATATGTAAATCGCAAGTTCCTGTCTGGTATGGAGGCGGTTCTGTGCTTGTTGGTTCTGCAGTAGACGTTTTTGTCGTTAAAGTTGATGGCAAAGGTGCAGTACTAACATCGATGCGTGTTGTGCCGACTTCGCAGGTATAGGTTATAGAAGAGTCAGTACCGACAGTAGTTCCAATTCCAGCTTGCCAACCATCATTGCAGGCACAGCCTATTGTTGCTGGGTAGTCAATAGTATAGTAGGTGTAGGCCGAACTGAAAGCGGTTATGCTGGTTAAAGAGCAAGATGTTATGGGTATTGGCGGAGCTGAAGTTGTGCGACTGACATGGCGGGACGATGACGTTGGAACCGAAGCAGTGGTCGAGTTGGCTGTCGTGCGGGCGCTGGAAGACAGAATGGAACTCCTCGAAGATAGAACATGTGAGGACGTCTGGCTGCTTGAAGTCTGGGAGGTTGAATTTTGAGCACTTGACTCCTTGCCTTGCGAAGATTGCCTGGACGATGAAGCAGTGGTAGTGCCAGATGAGTTGCTAGTCACAGGCGGAGCCGTTACATTAGCTGCCATGGAAATAGCCCATGCAGTAGGAAATCTGGTTGCTTGTGTAAGCTGGGCTTTGGCGACGGAGGCTGCTCGAGCTGCATCGAAATTCACACTCGTGTATATTGCCGTCTCGACAATGCCACTTCTCAAGGTAGAAGCCGTGGTTGACTCGCAACGATGCGTTGAGTCGGTGAAGGAACACACAACAGATGAAGTCGTCGAAGTGGTTCCTGTGACATCACAACCGGTTGTAGTCCTGCCACATGTTGTGGAGCAAGATGACTTGGCCATACAAGCGACCACGCAGTCGCTAACAGTCTTGCTTATTGTACAAGAGGACGACGAAGATGCCGAGGAGGTTGCGGATGTCTTGGTCGCTGATGTTTTGGAAGGGCCATCTGTTGATTGTGTTTTCTGTGTCTGCTGAGATTGATTTTCGGGTTCTTCAACCTCTGGTGAGCCAACATCTCCGCCTCCACCTCCGCCTCCGCCTCCTCCTCCTCCTCCTCCT